TTTTCATGTTTTTTTTCTCTTTTGTTCTGTTTCTCCTTTCACAGCATGACGAATATGGACATATGTTTTACATGACTACATATATATAACCTATATCAAATCACTTGCCATCTTAGGAAGGAAGGGAGAGAGGAAGGGAGAAAATATGGAACTCAAATATAAATTTTTTTTAAACTTTTTTATAAAAATTCTTTATAAAAAAAGAATGGTAAAAATTATCTTTACATGAAATTAGGAAAAAATAAAATACTATTTAAAAAGTAAAAAAAAAAGTTCCACTGGGGGCAGAGAAATATCCCCAATGAAATAAAAAAGACTTTGTTACTTGCAGAGTATCTATAAATTATCAGCTTCCAGATCACAGGATTATAGATCTAGAGCAGGGGGTTTTAAACTTTTTAGGGGGATCATGGACCCCTTTGACAGTTTGGTGAAGCCTCTGGATCCTTTATCAGAATGTTTTAAATACACAAAATAAAATATATAAGTTTAAAAAGAAACCAATTATATTGAAAACAGTTACTAAAATACAAGGTATCCCTAAAGTCTTTCTCTAATTTTTAAGCTTCATTAGTTTAAAACCTCATCATCTTATCATATCTGAGTATCTGAAGAGTAAAGGTGTCCATCAGGGGTACCCAACAACAATGACAGATGTAGAGATTTTGCCCAAATTCTTGGTACCCGGTCCCTTATTTCAAGGTTGAGGTGCCAGACAATACATAGTTATGTCAGTTTGTCAGTTTTAATCTAGTAAGTGTAGTTTTTAAGGTATTAAACCATAAAACTTCACTAAGACTTTTAGGACACATATTTTTTAAAATAAACAAATTAATGAACCACAGGATAAGAACCCTTGATCTAGAGCAGTGGTGTCCAGCTCAAAAACAAAGGCCACCAACCATACGTAAGGCTCCCTGTGGGCCTCATATTAACTTAGAAAACCACAAATTAACATTATCTATGCTTTATTGTATTTTTAGTTATGTTGTTAAACATTTCCCCATTACACTTTAATCTGGTTCAGGCTGCATTTAGGAGTGTTGTGGGCCATATGTGGCCATGAGCTGCATGTGTGACATTTCTGATCCAGAAGATCACAGTGCTAGAGCTGGAAGGGACCTCAGAGACCACCTAGCCCAATCCCTCATTTTATGGGTGAGATGACCCAACAAAGACATGATTTGAACCCTCATTCTCTGATTACAAATCCAATACCCTTTTTACTGCACCATGAGATAAGTAAGAGGAAAGGAGAAAATGGCAAAAAAAAAATTAGGATGGTGCCATACAAACTGGTCTGACCCACGGCAAACATAAATTCCATCCAATCAAAATGTGAGGTGTCATCATTTCTGCTGAAACACACAATTAGAGTCACACATTAAACTAGATGCCTGTGAACAAAATTGAACAGAATATAAGGAGGAGTAATTTTTTAAAAGACAATACCAAAAAAAATTCCCTAAAAAGGATAGATTATAGCCAAAGTTTGAGAATTCCTGCCTCATTTTAATTTAAAGGACAATACATTAAGCTGCTACGCCACAAGTGAGGGCAGTGAGAGATGTCAGACAAGTAAAGGAAAGGGGTCTGATTTTTATAGCTACAAAACAAATTTATAATTGTAGAAGACTGGCAGACATTTTTAAAGCTTACTCAAGTATTAGCCAAAATTTACTGAAATTCAGGGCTGAGGTAGTCTATAATTATATATAATTGAAAACTCTTTCCCTAAAATGTCTAACTGGTTCCCTTTTATTCCATTCCAACCCTAAATTCTGACTTATAATCTGTTGAGGACTCCACTGTATCATATTTAAACAAAATAAAGCTATAACTCACATTTGTAAAGTCCTTTCTGGCTTAAAAAATGCTTGCCTCAATAGTCCTGTGAAGAAAGTAGTAAGTGTATTATTATCTCCCTTTTAGAGGTGAGGAAAGGGCAGGTAGGTGGCCCAGTAGATAGAGTCCCAGGCCTGGAGTTAGGAGGACTCATCTTCCTGAGGTCAAATCTGAATTCAGACATTTACTAGTTGTGTGATCCTGGGCAAATCACTTCACTCTGCTTACCTCAGTTTCCTCATCTGTAAAATGAACTGGAGAAGGAAGTGGCAAAACCAGTCCATTATCTTTGCCAAGAAAACCCCAAATGGGGTTGTAAAGAACCTGATGTGACTGAAATGACTAAACAACAAAGAGGTGGGAAACTGAGGTGCAGTAGGTTGTGATTTGCCCATAGTCAAAGCTACTAGGTAACAGAGAATTTGAACCTAGGACTCTTGACTGCAAAGATTAGCTTTCCATTGTACTATGCAACCCAATGCCAACTGATATTGTATCTTTGATTAACAGAGCACTTTCTAACAAAAAATTTAAGCACTTTCACAGACATCATTCTCAATGGTTTCACTACAACCATTCCAAAAAAATAACGAGCTTCTGTGCCTCACTAGATGTGCCTATAAAATGAAGATGGGAAAACTTCCAGAAAGATGGCAAAGCACGAAATCATAAGAAACCTCCCTCCTTAACATGGCCTCAAGAAGAGACAGAGAAATGCCCCCAAAGAAGCAAGATGATCCAAAATCTTCAAAACAAACTTAAAAATTATCTAAACAATGAACAAACCAAATAGCTTTAAGGTGGTAAAAGAATATTATAGAATAAAATAAGCAGGGAAAAAAGTGTGAGCAGAAAATATAGTGAAAGCATAAGCAGTTGAATTTGGAAAACTGTAAAGAGGAAACATAAAAGTGGATAAAAGTTATGCCTATGGAATTAAAGAAACAAATTAAGAGAAAGTAAGGAAGGAACTGGATATAGTTAAGGAATCTTGGAACAAGATGATAAAGTAAGTTTTGTTGCTCAGTTATTTCAGTTCTGTTTGACTCTTCATGACCCCATTTGGGATTTGTTTGGCAAAGATACTAGAGTGGTTTGGAATTTCCTTCTCCAGCTCATTTTATAGATTAAGAACTGAGGCAAACAAGGTAAAGTGACTTACCCAGGGTCACATAGCTAGTAAGTATCTAGGGCCAGATTTGAACTCAGAAAGATGAGTTTTCCTGACTCTAGGGATGGTGCTCTGCCTAGCTGATGTGTGTGTGTATAATAGTTTATAAACATATTTATACTCTCTCTCTCTCTCTCTCTCTCTTCTCTCTCTCTCTCTTCTCTATATATATATATATATATATATATATGTATGTACATATATATATATACTAAGAATTGAGGTGACCAAATAAAGACAAGAAATGTTTTTGTTTAATTCAATAAAGAGGAGAACCTCTTTGTTCACCTTTGACAAGATTGAAAAAGAGTGATTAAATAAGAAATTATATGTAAATTTATATATAAAATATATTTACATATTTACTTATATTTGTATATTCTTTATTTACATGTTTGTATTTGCATAATTTTAGATTAATACATCAACGCATTAAAATCAGATAGTAATTACATTTTAATCTGGTTCAAGTGTCACTCAGGAGTGTTGTAGGTTACATAAGGCCAGCAGGCTACATGTTTGACATTGCTGCTCTAAGTGCCAAGTGCTAATTATGGGACACACTGAATAGAGATATAGGATACCACTTTAATAATATGATAAGGGAGGCTTATAGACTATAATAGTAATAATAATAATAATAAGCACTTATGTTGCATTTTAAGGCTTGCAAAGCACTTTACTCATTTGAGTTAAAAATTCAACTCTGTGAAGTATGTACTATTATTATCCCCATTTTATAGATGAGGACATTAAGGCTTACCAAGACTTGTCCAAGGTAACAAAGCTAGAAAGTGTATGAGACCGGATTGGAACTTGGCTCTTCCTCACTTTAAGTTCACTGCATCACCTAGCTTGACAGTATAAAAGCATATAACCCTATGGCCATCTATTATAAAATATTAAGAAGTCATTGTTAATAATGATAATTGCTAGAATTTACATAGTATCTACTAAATGCCAGGCACTGTGCTAAAATCTTACAAATATTATCTCAGTTCATCCTTATAACAACCCTCCCTTGAAATACTAAGAAATTATATCATTATTATTATAGTTGAAATTGAGGCAAACAGACATTAAGTGAGGTCACAAAGCTCATGTGTAAAGCCAACTGCAGCAGTCTGTCTAAAGTCTTCCTTCTCACTTGAATCTGAGACATAATCAGTTGTTCTTGAATAGAAGACAATCCATTTCAGGGAAAGATTATAATTTCTTGAAATTAAGAATCTGAGGTGGCCAAATAAAGACGAGTGATGTCTTTGTTAAATTCAATAAAGAGGAGTATCCTTTGTCAACCTTTGACTAGATTGTAGGGAATGGTTGGTTTCAGGAAGATAGCTTCTCTAAGGGTGCACTCTTCATTAATATGTTACCACTGTTCTGTTTGGCAATTAAAACAAACCCTAAATTAAAACTATGTACCTTTGTTTCCTTTTGCTGTGGAATTTTGTTGGGTTTTTTTTCATTGTTTGTTTGTTTGTTTTAGGACCTCTATAAAATGAGTGGAAATGGCTAAGAGGAAAGAGAATTCCAATTAAAAGGGGAAATGTTCTAACTCCACCCAGTGGTGAAAACCAGTCTGTCACTCTTAGAATTTCTGCCACCCTCGGCTACCCAACTACCCTTTCACTTTTACAGAATGTTAATATGGTAATTATTTTCAGTGTTGGTCAGTTTTCTAAATGTCCCTCTAACCTTTGCACACATCACAGTACAAATCATTTTTGTCAATCTTGGGTCTTGAATACCTACAAGACTAGGGAATATGACACAGAACACCTAACACAATACTAAATGGGGAAAGACGCATAAGAATACCTTTGATGATACAACTGTAAAAATATCTTAAAGCAAAGAAATGCAACCACAGTAAGTTCTCTGATGACCCTCTCATTCTCCTACGTCCTTACCCTCTAATGCACACAATCTATATCCCAAGAATCCTTGGGTCTCTGTTCTATTGGAATGAAATGAAACTCACCTCTAACTGATTAACATTGAGGACTAGAAGGACAATGGTCAATGCTGCCAGGAGACAGCAGATAAACCATGGTTTGCAGAAATTCGTCCACATTGTCTACTTGTATCTCCATCAGTCATGGTGGACACCATGCTGCCTTTGCTCCACAGAGGTCAGTGTCATTGCTTCTCAGGATTACAAACTTCCAGGTAATGTTGCTTCTCTCTGTTAGCACTTTTAGAGTTCATTATTAAAGGGGAAATACAGTAGATTTAAATACAAAACATCATTCAAAGATCTCCTAAAGGAGAAATAAGAAAGAAGTATCAGTAGCAGAAGACTGAAGTTAAGGTAATAATAATTAATAATAATATCTTACATATAGTTATTGTTTTCCCAAATTTTATCTCATCTGATCTTTACAACCCTGTGAGGAAGGCAGTGAAGGTAGATAGGAGTGAAGGCACCAATTCAATAGACATAGAAATTGAGGTGCAAAGAAGTTATGACTTCCCTATCATTATAAAGCTAACAAATCATGGAGGGACTCTCACAGGGAAATATTTCACAGTGCACAGGAAAATTAAAAATCAAATAAATACCTATGTTGAAGATTTAAATTATGAACAAGCAAACAGTCAATTTCACTCCAGAATGATGATGAGTCTTAAAAGCTGAGGTAGGCAGGGGTTAAGGGACAGCCTGAAACACTCCATCCCCAGACTTGAGACATTTTCAGTAGCTTGTCCCTATGCCTAGTACTCTCTTCCTCTTTATCTTTATCTCCTGGCTTCCCTGGTTTCCTTCAAGTCTCAGCTCTCCTTTGGCAAGAAGCCTTTTCAAATCCCTTTTAATACTAATTCCTTCCCTATGACGTTATGTCCAATGTATTTTTTTATTTATATAGATATATAAATGGAGAGAAGGGGAGAGAAGAGAGGAGAGAAAAAGAGAGAGGATAAAGAGAAAGAGAGGGACAGAGAAAGACAGAGACAGAGAGAGAGAGAGAGAGAGAGAGAGAGAGAGAGAGAGAGAGAGAGAGAGATTGTAAATAGTTGTTTGCATGTTGTCTCCTCCATTATATTGCGAGCTCCTTGAGGGCAGGGAATGATTTTGCTTTCTTTGTACTTCCAGTATCTACCATAGTACCTGGCACATAGGAGGTGGTTAATAAATGTTTGTTGACTTGACCTTATTTGACTTGTTTGAACAAGTCATTCAGTAGATCCATCCATACGTATATTTCACACAGGCACTGCAAATGGACAATTAACTGAACCTGGAATTGCATAGGAGGAAAAGAGGCTAGATTCTGGGAGCAGGAAAGATGGGGAAGATCCCTTTTACTTGTATAGAGAACTGCTAATAAGGAAACTGCTTCTCCCAAAGCAAACTGCCACCTACTCTGTAATTTATAGTCTGGGAGTGCTGCTAGGGGGAACCATGCCCCAGGGTCACACAACCAGTATATATCAATAGTAGAACTTGAACAGATGTCTTCCTGACTCTGAGACCATTCTCTATGCACCACATGATAATGCCTCTCTGGATTACATTTGGGAACCTGAAAAGCTCTTTCACTGATCCCAAGCTTCTCCCCGAAATGAAAACCTTTCTTTTTTTATATCACTATTCCTGCAGTGATATTTAGATGGTTGCAAATCAAGGGAAACTATAATCTTGGCAGAATCAGAATTGTCACCCAAAGGTCAGTAAAGAGACGCATGGTGAGTACAATATATTACCAACGATACTTGAAAGTAGTGGCACAAAAGATATCAGAGATTTATGACCAGAAAAGGGGGTTGGCTGGTCATGTAACAATAGTGAAGAATAAGAGATAATCTGAATGCTGCATGGATATCTATGTAATGTTAAGAAATCTAGAGATAGACCCCCATCTTGCGGGGAGCCCCCATAGAGGATTTATAGTATGACTTGGGAAAAAGTTGCATAGGATAATAAGGCATAGATGGGTTATGAATTTTACTACTGAAAGGCATATACAAATAATGAGCTTACAGATCCACTTAAATATTAAAATATAAAATCACATTAGATTTTTAGCCTGCCACATCAATGCTGATTTTCTACTGCTCAAAAAAAAAAAACCCACCAGAACATTTTTACACAAAAAAGCCATTTTCTCCCATATTGTTTTTATGTAACTGATTTTTTTAAACCAAGCACAAACTTTTATATTTCAATCAATCCACAAGCATTTTTAAGCACTTATTATGTACCAGGCACTGTGCTAAGAAATACTGGCCATACAAATACAAGCAAAGAGAAAGATAGTCTCTGTTCTCAAAAAGCTTACATTCTAATGAGGGAAGAAAACACACAAAAAAAGTGTTGAAAAGGGGATAAGGGGGTACCTGTTCGTGGGCCTGATACTGAATTCCAAAGAGTCAAAAGCATAACCACCAAGGGTATAAAAATTCACTGGCCTGGGTCCATCTCTAAAATGGAGGCCCTAGGAGGAACTCACCAATGGGAGAAGGAGGCCAGCATGCAGAGAGATGTTCGAGGGTGAGAAGCCTTCAGGGGAAGAATGGATGTTCCAGAGTGAAGAGGCCCCAGGTTCTGAGGGAAGTTCCAGGGTGAGACAGCAGCTGAGGCACCCTGATGGCAAAGTCCAAAGAATTTGTTATCATCATCATCATCATCATCATCATCACTGAACATCTTTTATGAAGCTCTCAAATTCTGACAAGGCAGGGTTTCTGAGACAATCAGTATCTGGTTTTCTCAAGAAGGTCTTCTGCATATAAGAAGTCTGACCACCAATACCACCTCAAAAATCAACAGGAAGTTCCAAACATAGCCAAAATACTCTAGGTACCCTGAGAAAGAGACAAGGAGAACCATACAGGACTCCAGGGGCCATATTCCCAAAGTCTTGCACTCTGGGAAAAAGAGAAATGCTCATATCAGAGAAAGTTCCCCTACCCCCTTCCTAAATCTTAGATCTGGAGTTGTTCTCCCAAAAGAAAAAAAAAAGCAGTTGTCATAAAGCTCCACAGCAGCAGCTATTCTCTAACTATGTGCAGTAGCCTCTTCTCCTCCTCCTCCTCCTCCAATTGACACACTACAATCTACCCCCAGCTTGCCATGCAGCTGACCCAGTTCACTACTCCCAATTCACCACTATGACTAGCAATGGTGCTGATCCCACCTATTCTAGGCTGCCACAAATTTTTAAATAATAATTTTGTCATCAACTATAATAATTATTCCTACTAGCATCCTGCCATCTGAAAAGTTGGCATACGCCATCTCTATCTATTTTCCAAATTAATATAGAACTGTTGAACACGATGAGACCAAGGACAGATCCTAGGAGCTCCTGCTCTAGTGTTCCTTCCAAAGGTTGCCTCTTCAAGATGAGTGAGCATCAGGGGCGGAGCCAAGATGGCAGAGTAAAGGCAGTGCCTTGCTTGAGCTCTCCCCCAAATCCCTCCAAATACCTATAAAAATGGCTCTAAACAAATTCTAGAGCAGTAGAACCCACAAAAAGACAGAGTGAAACAAATTTCCAGTCCAAGACAACCTGGATGGTTGATGGGAAAGGTCTGTTGTCATGGGCTGAGGGAAGAGCACAGTTCAGCATGTGCCCAGCAGGCAAAGAGCAGGCCTCAGCAAATACAGAGCAGAGCTCAGGGGACTAAATCACGGGCAGCTGTGGCAGTTTCCAGACTTCTCAAAGCACAAAGGCCAAAGACAGCTTAGAAGGTCAGTAGGAAAAGTCTGTCAGACCTAGGTGAGAGAGGAGCTCAATAACAACGCCGGTCCGGCACAGCCATGAGGCAGCAGCTGCTTCCAGAGCTCTCGGCCCATAGATGGTGGGGAGATCCAGCAGCTGATCAGAGGGGGACTGCAAGGATCTCTTTGCTGGCACTGAGGCAGAATTCTCTTGCTTTGCCCAGGCTTGGATATGGGTCACAGTTCTGGAAGGTGGTCCTGGGGTGAGAGGAGCACTGGCATGGTGAATTGTGGCAGATGTAGAAAGGGAATCCTCCTTACAGTTCCAAGGCAGAAAAAAGTGCTTGTGATCACTTACAGACCAGAGCACAGGCCAGGAAAGGAGTAAACACCTCGCCCTTGATCATATAACCTTGGAAGAACTGAAAATGTATAGGTCCTTAGAAGTATCTCTGAAAACAGCTGTACAAACCTCCAAAGCTTGGGAAAGTACATGTTTCCACACTGAAAGCTGAACCCTACCTTATCAAAGAGTTTAAAAGCCGAGTAATTGGCTGGGAACATGAGCAAACAGCATAAAAAAAACTCAGACTTACTTTGGTGACAAAGATCAAAACATACAACCAGAAAAAGACAACAAAGTCAAAGCTCCTACATCCAAAGCCTCCAAGAAAAATATGAATTGGTCCCAGGCCATGGAAGAGCTCAAAAAAAGGATTTTAAGAAGCAAGTAAGAGAAGTAGAAGAAAAACTGGGAAGAGAAATGAGAGTGATACAAGAAAATCATGGAAAAACAAGTCAACAACTTACTAAAGGAGATCCCAAAAAAATACTGAAGAAAATAACACCTTAAAAAATAGACTCACCCAAATGGCAAAAGAGATCCAAAAAGCCAATGAGGAGAAGAAGACCTTAAAAAGCAGAACTGGCCAAATGGAAAAGGAGGTCCAAAAGTTCACTGAGGAAAATAATTCCTTAAAAACTAAAAAGGAGCAAATGAAAGCTAATGACTCTATGAGAAATCAAGAAATTATAAAAGAAAACCAAAAGAATGAAAAAATAGAAGACAATGTGAAATATCTCATTGGAAAAACAACTGACATGGAAAACAGATCCAGGAGAGATAACCTAAAACTTACTGGACTATCTGAAAGCCATGATCAAAAAAAGATCCTAGACATCATCTTTCAAGAAATTATCAAGGAAAACTGCCCCGATATTCTTGAACCAGAAGGTAAAATAGAAATTGAAAGAATCTACCGATCACCTCTTGAAAGAGATCCCAAAATGAAAACTCCCAGGAATATTATAGCCAAATTCTAGAGTTTCCAGGTCAAAGAGAAAATATTGCAAGCAGCCAGAAAGTAACCATTCAAGTACTGTGGAAACACAATCAGGATAACACAAGATTTAGCAGCTTCTACTTTAAGGAATTGGAGGGCTTGGAACATGATATTCTGGAGGTCAAAGGAACTAGAATTAAAACCAAGAATCATCTACCCAGCAAAACTGAGTGTAATCAATGAGGGGAAAAAAATTGATATTCAATGGCACAGAGGAATTTAATGCATTCTTGAGAAGCCAGAGCTAAATAGAAAAATTGACTTTCAAATACAAGACTCAAGAGAAGCATGAAAAGGTAAACAGGAAAGAGGAATCATAAGGGACTTATTAAAGTTGAACTGTTTACATTCCTACATGGAAAGATGATATTTGTAACTTATGAAACCTTTCCTAGTATTAGGGTAGTAGGAGAGAAAATATATATATACACATACAGAAGGCACAGGGTGAGTTGAATATGAAGGAATGATACCTAAAAAAGAAAATTAAGGGATGAGAGAGGAATGTACTAGGAGAAGGAGAAAGGGAGAAGTAGAAAGGGGGTAAATGATCTCACATGAAACAGACAAGAAAAAGCTTTTACACTGGAGGGGAAACAGGGGACAGTGAGTGAATCTTACTCTCATCAGATTTGGCTTATGGAGGGAATAATACATACTCAATTGGGTGTGGAAATCTATCTTACCCTACAGGAAAATAGGAAGGAAGGGGATAAGAGAGGGGGGATGATAAAAAGGAGGGCAGACTGGGGGAGGAGGTGATCAGAAGCAAACACTTTTGCGGATGGACAGGGTCAAAGGAGAGAACAGAATAAATGTGGGGGTTGGGATAGGATAAAGGGAAATACAGTTAGTCTTTCACAACATGACTATTATGGAAGTGTTTTGCATGACTACACATGTATAACCTATATCAAGTTGTTGCCTTCTCAATGACAGTGGGTGGGGAGGGTGGAAGGGAGAGAATTTGGAACTCAAAGTCTTGAAAACAAATTTTAAAAATTGTTTTTTAAGGGGAAGCTAGATGGCGAAGTGGATAGAGCCCTGGAGTCAGGAGGACCTGAGTTCAAATCCAACCTCAGGCACATGATACTCACTAGCTGTGCAACCCCAGGCAAGTCACTTAACATCAACTGCCTTGCCAAAAAAAAAAAAGTTTTTACATGCAACTGAGAAATAAGACACAGGCAATGGGGTATAGAAATCTACCCTGCCCTACAGGAAAATAGAAGGGGAAGGGGATAAGTGAGGGGCAGTGACAGAAGGGAGGGCAAATTGGGGGAAGAATATTCAGAATGCACACTGTCTAAGGGTGGGGTGAGGGGAGAGATGGGGACAAAATTTGGAACTCAAAATCTTGTGGAAGTGAATGTTGAAAAATAAAAATTAATTAATTAATTTTTAAAAAAAAACAGATGAGTGAGCATACCTAGTTCCCGTTCCTGTAAAACTTGAGGGGAGGAGGGCCTTAATGGTAGAGAAGGTGAAGCTACAGACCACCTGGCCTATATGTGGCCCAGGAAGTACCCTAACCAGATATTCTCATTTACCATTTTGAGGTTTACAGGTAACTCTTAAAGACCTTGAGACCTTAATTTGGGTACCTCCTAAAGTTGGGAACCATTGATCTATGACAGCATTTGTCTTGTTTTTCTTCTTTGTATCTGGTTTCTATATTTTGGATTTCACATGAAAGCAAATTTTGTTAGGACTTTCTCTAAATGATGAGGAAAAGTGAGAGATTATACTACTGGAAAATGAAACATACAATGTCAACCCTGAACTAAACTGTAGGGAAATTATGCACTCTTCCCTTTGGTATCATCCCTCTTGGGCAGTTCCATAGGATAATAGCATTTCAAACTGTATAAATTGTTTCACTGAAAAGAGATTAGACAATCTGGTTGACTCAGAGGAGAACAATAACCAATAAATACAAGTCATAGGGAGACAAATTTCATTCTAATATAAGGAAGGCCTAATAATGACAGGTAGGTGGTGAAGTCAATAGAGTGCCCGCCTGTTATCAGGAAAACATCTTCCTGAGTTCATACCCAGCTTCAGACACTAACTAGCTGTGTGACCCTGGGCAAATCATTTAACCCTGTTTGCTTCACTTTCTCCTCTGTAAAATGAGCTGGAAAAGGAAATGGCAAACCACTCTAGCATCTTTGCCAAGAAATCCCCAAATGGGATCATGGAGAGTCAGACAGGGCTGAACAACAACTAGGCCTAATAATAGAATAGGCTGACAAATGGATGGTGAGCTCCCAGTCACTGAAGTATTCAAGCAGACTGAATGACATGTTATTGAAGAGATTTGTGTTTTAGTTGGAGGTGTACAAGAGCAAGAAATCTTAACTTGGGCTCTGTGAACTTTTTTTTTAATATGTAGTTTGATAACTGAATTTCATTACAATTGGTTTCCTCTCAAATCCTACCTATTTTATTTTACGCATTTAAATCCATTATTCTGAGAAGGTGTGCATAGGTTTTACCAGACTGCCAGAGAGGTCCGTGACACAAGCAAATAAATAAGAACCCCTGGACCAGAGGATATCTGAGATGCCTCTAAAAGAACTTACAAACACATCTAACTGCCAACCTAAAAATGTCACACACACACACACACACACATACACACACACACACACACACACACACACACAAAATAATAGGCAGACTGAGGAAATATACTAAACAAATTAGACAGTCCAACTTCATAATTATATCTGTGAATAGCGTGAAGTCTGGGCAGCACTCTACTTACAAACAAGTATAATCCTGATCGAGTTACTTAAATTGCTCTCTTGGCCTCAATTTCTTCTTCTGTAAAAGGAGTGGGGTTGGGGGAAGGAGTTGAAGAAACGATCCCCTATGATTCCTTCCAATTCCATATCCTATAGAACTTTTTGGGGGGAGAAGGGAGATAGAACAATATAATTTGCCTTCCACTTTCTGGTATACAGTCAACTAAACTTGAGCAGGGTTTTAGAAGTCCTTGATGGTATTGGCAGCAAGCTTATCCTAAGGTCTCAAGAAAAAAATGTAGGAGCGGGCAGGTCGAGCTGTTGTGCCAGCGGGACTCGACAAAGGTATGTCAAGGATACTTCAAATGCATTATCTTCTAGTTCGGTACAGCTCTCCCCTGCTCAATTCCCTTTACAAACTCTTGCCCTCTCTCAGACACTCTGCTTCAAATATCTCGGCCATCAACAGCATCCCCTAACCCTGCCTCCCCCAACGGACAACTCTGCTTTTTAGAAAAACAGTGTGGGCAAGGGCATGTGTTTGCCTTAGAGAAAACAGAGGCAGAGGAGGCTCCCGATGCCAAAGGAAAAAAGAAGGTAGTTGGAAGAGACCTTCTCAGGAGGTCCTAGCCAGCTGAGGGAGGGTCACAAAGTCCTGGCCTCCCAGAGAATGCCCTAAGGCCTGCCTTCATTGCACAATCCCTACTCCCATTCCCTGCCTCTCCTCCAGCTGGGTAGATCCCGGCACTCCAGCTTTCCTTTTCTCAAGATTGTACTATGATACTATGCCTAGCTGGAGAGTCACCTGGGAGGCGCGGCTCTAACCGCCGGCCCTGCAGCATCAGCAGCCCCAGCAACCCCAGGAACCCCAGCAGCAGCAGCAGCAAGCGGCCCCGGGGGCTACTTGTGCCACTAGCCCAGGGAGACTGCACAAAAAAAGCAGAAGAGGAAGGAAAAAGCTAATGGGAGTTGCTAGCAGCCGCGATAAGGGAGGGATACGGGGCTGGAAAAAGCAGGAAGGGCCGGGAAGTCAGGGAGTTTGCACGGGGGAATAAGGGGAAGGAGCTATGACAGAAGGAAGAACGTGGGGTGGGGAGGAGGCCGTTCAAGCAAAGCTCTTCATCGGCTGTCTTGGGGACCCGCTACTCACCACCTCGAGCAGCCGCTGCAGACGCCGCTGCCGCTGGGGGGGGGGGTCCCCAGCTCCCATCCCCGCTGCAGCCCCTCACATAGCTGCGGGGAAGCTCAGGCGCCGCAAAACCAAGCAGGCTCGTGTCCAGGGCCAACCCAGAGCTTCTCCAGCCTCCAGCCTCCTTCTACTTCCCGGTATCTCAGCTGCTGCGACCCCAATACGTCTCCCCTCACCCGTCCGCAGTCAAGCATTGGTCGGGTTCGCAAGAGGCGGAGCCTGGGACGGTGACTGGCAGTCGTGGGTGAAGCTGTGAGTACAAGCGTGTTGGACTGAGGCTGGAGAACTACGCTGCTGCTGCTGCTGCTGCTGCTGCTGCTTTTCCTCGTCCTTCTCCTGCTGCTGCTGCCGCTGTTCCTGCTCCTGCTTCTCTCTCTTCCAGCCCCACAACTGGCGTGGCCTTCCCTCTTCCCCTTTACCAGCAACTGCCCACCTCCACCAGATCTCCTGTCTCCTGCAGCCGCTGCTGCTACACTGACTTGCCTCTGGAGGGTAGTCGCTCTGTCTTTCCGCTTCTCTGGGCTCCGGGTGTACCCATCATCTCATACTCACCGGCAGAGCCTGCAGGCAAACACTTCCTGACAAACAGTATCTTGGGAAAGATACTGGTATTAGTTTGTCATTTCCTTCTCTAGCTCATTTTACAGAGGAAGAAACTGAGGCAAATAAGGTTAAGTGATTTGCCCAGTATCACGTAGCTAGTAAGTGTCTGAGTCCAGATTTGACCTTAGGAAGATGAGTCCTCCTGCCTCCAGATATGAGATGGTACCTCAATGTTGTTTTAATTTGCGTTTTTCTAATCAATGATGATTTAGAGCATTTTTTCATTTGACTATGTATATCTTTGATTTCTTCTTCCAAAAACTGCTTGTTCATATCCTTTGGCCATTTATTAATTGGGGAATTATTCATATTCTTATAAATTTGACTCAGTTCTTTATATAGTTGAAGTATAAGGCCTTTATCTGAGAAACTGTCTATAAATTTTCCCCAATTTTCTGCTTTCCTTTTAGCTAACTGGGTTTTTTTGGTACAAAAACTTTTTAATTTCATATAATCAAAATTATCCATTTTACACCCCACAAATGCTTTCCATCTCTTACTTATTCATAAATTCTTTACCTGTCCAGAAATCTAATACGTAATATGTTCCATGTTCTTCTAGTTTATTTATATCTCCTTTTATGTCTATGTCGTGTATCCATTTTGACCTTATCTTGGTAAATGATGTAAAATATTGGTCTATTATACCTAGTTTCTGCCTGACTGCTTTCCAGTTTTCCCAGGAAGCCTCAATGCTTTTCCACCTGAGAACAGGATCCTATTGATGGTCTTAGTGTGTGTCTCTGCTAGTAGGGGTACAGTTCTCACAGGGCTAAGGATTTAGTCAAGTCAGAGCCTTTATAACAATAGTTATTTCCCTCATCTAATCTCTGTTTGAAGACCTCCAAAGGATATACATGGGGTGAGATGCAGGAGCGAGCTATCATCCAGGAATGAGCCTTTCTTCCAGACCAATGCACTGTAATAAATCCCTTTGCCTTTTCTGTTCCTTTCCTCTCTCCTAGCTTCTTTTCCCAGCTCCTGATGTCCAGTGTCGAACAGTATCCCAATATGGGTTAGTGTGAGGAGAGCTATGCTTTTTCTTTCAGAAAGGAAGTAACACATAACCCAAGGAAAATTGTAACCTCATCTTCTACTTTAATAATCTGTCCTTCTACTGTAACATTCAACAATGACATTGTTGACATACAACATGTGATCCTGCCTTCTTGGTAGCTTCTAATTGTTTAGAACCAGTAATAATTAGCTTCTACTGAAGTCCTCTTGTGAGGCCCCATCATGGCATGGATATAAGGCTGTGAGAGAAAAATACAAATTCTGATAGGTCCTACCACCTGGAAAGGTTTCAAGTATGGATCCCATGACAAGCAACTATGTGTGCCTGTAATCTGAGAAACAGCCTGGTTAAATTCAGAGTCTCATCAGCAGGTTGGCTGTGGTGCTTTGTGGTATCCCATATTGCTCCACTGCTGGCACTCTATACTTAGCCATATTAAGCTACTTTCTGCCCCTTTCTCCCATCATGCACGTTCCTACCAGGGTCTTTGCTCAGACTGTTGTCTTGTCCTTGAAGTAGCCTTCATCCCACGTCACCTAATTCCCAATGTCCCTTTAAGGCCTCAGCTCAAATGCAGCCTCTTGCTAGCAAAACCTACCCCTTCAGGCCTTACCTAGCTGACAGGGGCGCCCTGGACCCTGGCTTCCTAGGAAGGGTCGTGGTAGACCCCCGGCCGTAGGTTGCTGAGTTACGCTCAGCTGACGGTCACGGGGTGGCTCCGCCTCTAGGATAGAACAGGGGAGGGGCGCAGAGTCTCACGAGGCTCGGAGGGGTGGGCTCTTGTAAGTGTATATAACGGGCTAAGAGCAAGGGATCGGGGGAGTCCTCTGCAATAAAGATCTTACACCGCACTCGCGTCCTGTCTGGTCCTTGAGCCCATCTTTTCCCCAGGGTGGGTCCGGAGACGTCCGAAGCCTAGCTCCCAGGAAGGAGAAGTACCTGAAGGATCCGGCCCGGGTCACCTAGCCCCTTGTTTTGTAATTATCTGATGTACTTACTATGCAACATTATACATTATTTGGTGTCTGTATTTGTCTCAAATCCCTACTACACAGTAATCTACATGAGGTTGGGTATCATGTCTTATGTGTAGCATCCCTACCTATATATAGGCCCCTCCAAAACTGCCCTAGATTTAAAGTAATCTGTGGGTCTTCATCCACTCAAACCCATAGTTCAGCCCCCACCATGTTCGTCTTTACTCGTCAGTAAGAGGACACAATTCATTCAATGAAAAAATATTTAATGAAAGAGCACAGTAAGAAAAGTGACACTCAAGCATTTGTAGATAGATAGAAAGCTAACATTAATATAGTAACTACTATGTCCCAGGCATTGTGCTAAGCACTTTATAATTATTATCACATTTGATCCTCATAATAGCTCTGGGATTTAGGTGCTATTATTATCCCCACTTTACAGATGAGGAAACTGAGGCACACAGAGTTTAAGTGACTTGCCCAGAGTCACACTGCTAGTAAGTATCTAAGGCTATTTTTGAACTCAGAGCTTCCTAACTCCAGGACCAGCACTCTATCCACTGAACCATCTAGGTGCCTCAATATTTCCCACATAAATTGGGGCACACCCTCCCACAAATATATACTCCTCAAGTGTAAAGAGTGGTCACGCACACAGGGAACACATATGAAATGACACACATATGTGGCCAGGGTGCATCAATAGAAGGTCAGATATAAGGAATATATGTGACTGGGGAAATGCATAGAGGGCACATATGTAGGAAACACCCGTGGTTAGGGTACATATATAGGGAACGTGTATGGCCAGAGCATACACTTGGAAGAATGTATATGTAGGAAAACTGTGTGGCCAAAGTACACACATTGAGAGGCAGCTCATCTTTCGGCTTCTACAAGGGTCAATGAGGACTTCTAGTGATGTCACTATGTGATTTCTGCTGGCCTTTCTCCCTGCTGGCCCTGTTCTTCACTGGTTCCGTCACATTTGGAATAGATATTGCATGTCTCTGTGGCTCCTTGCTTTTTTTTCTCCTGAGTCTTTAGTCTCTGTTTCCATCCCTTCTTCCTTCACTAACTACACTCAACTGGGCCTCTCCTGAAGTGCTTACCTCTCCCCTACAAAGAGGAGGCCCCCCAGAAAAACGACCCTAGATGCAAGGTAATCTGTGGGTCTGCATCCACTCAGAACTATAGTTCAGCTGTGACCATGTTCATTTTTACTGATCAGCAAGAGGACACAATTCATTCAATGAAAAAAAAATCTTTTTTTTAACCTAGAGACCAGAGAGAGCTATTTTAGTGGGAAAGGCAAGCCTAGTCACAAGAATAAAAGAAGATCCTCAGCGCTTTTTCTCTCCATAGAGAAAGGAAGATCAATCAGTTCCCAGAATTTTAGCTGCTCACCACTTTCCTTTCTAGGAGAGAGATCTGTCATTTCCCAGAATCTTAGTCTCTAGAACCTAAACTCTTTCAGAATGAAAACCACATAGTTAATTAAACCTTCAGGAATTTAATCTGCCTTTTAACCAGGTTATGACAGACTAACCATATTTCCTTTTCTAACAATTATCAATGGCTTCTTTGGGGTATAAACCAAAGGTTCAAAGGAGTTATGAGGACTTTCTAAGCATAAGTCAGACAGAGACTTGGGACAATGATGTGGATCCTGCTACCCTCAGGAGGTAGGTTAAAAGGCAGTGAATAGAGCTCTGGGCTTGGAATCAGGAAGACTCATCCTCCTGAGTTCACATCTGGCCTCCGACACTTACTGGCTGTGTGATCCTGGGCAAGTCACTTAACCCTGTTTGCCTCAGTTCCTCTTCTGTAAAATGAGTTGGAGAAGGAAATGCAAACCACTCTAGTATCTTTGCCAAGAAAATCCCAAATGAGGTCACAAAGACTTGGACACAACTAAACAGCAACAAAGTGGCATTGCAAAGGACGTATGCAGTTTAATAGCAGAATGGCTGGATGAGTTCACAACTCACAATCAACAATGCATTAATGTAGCTATTTTCCCCTAGCCCCTCTGGCCTTTGTAATTTTACTTTTTTGCCTACTTTGCAAATGTGATCAATGGATGTTAGGTGGTATCTCAGAGTTGTTTTAATTTGCATTTGCAATTATTAGTGATTTAGAACATTTTTCATATGGCTATTTATGGCCTAGATTTCATCTTCTGAAAACTATTTTTATCCTTTGCTTATTTATTAATTGGGGAATAGATCTTATTCTTATAAATTTGAATGTTTCCTATATATCTTAGAAATGAGACCTTTATCAGAAAAATTTGCTGCAAAGATTGTTTCCCAATTTCTTGCTTCTCTTCTAATTTGAGTTGCATTGGTTTTGTTTGTCAATTGATTTAAATGAATCATGTGTGTAAATGTACAAAATATGAGAAATAACTATGTAATAGTTCAAGGAATTGCTGAAAATACCTACTGCAATCTGATATTACCTCTGCCTCATATTGAATTTGGGAGCTATGTGGAATAAAGACAACAGGGAATTTGACTAAATGGCCTCATACCTTGAGAAAACCTGGCTTTGGAGGGAAAATGCATGGGCAGCAGAGGGGAGATTTTGTGTTTTTTTTTTTTTAAATATTGTAATCTGAGGGGTTTTTTTTGTTTTTAATGTTTAGCATTTCTTTTGTGTATAGGAATAAAATGTACATGTAATACCTGATTTATGCACTTTGTACACTTAGCACTTTTTTTACTGTCCTCTTTTGGGGGAAAACCTAGATATCAATCATAACTCAAAGTTTTAAGTAAACTTGTTTCCAAGATGCTAGGATGGGGTTTTAAAGAACCAAAGAAATGTGAGAAAAGGAAACCTAGATTCCCTTAATAGAGGCCATGCTCCCTAGGACTGAATCCAATTAGACTGCATTCCTGGGTCCGGAGCAGAGGGCCCCCTTAGTGGATAAGAGAGTCACAATACCCTGATTGCTACCGGCTCAGCAGCATTTCCTCAGTGTTAGAGATCAGTATATTTTTTGTTTGTTTTCTAAGTAAATAACTATAGTTTCCTGGTAAAACTTTCCTTTAAGAGACTGGAGGCTTGTACTCTGATTTCAGGGGCAGCAGGAGAGTAAGAGGAACATGTATCCACTCCAAAAGAAGGTCTAGGTCAAGAGGAGGTATAGCAGCAATAGGGGGAGGCGGAATGGGGTGGTGGGGAGAAAGATTTTGGAGCCAAAGTTAGTAGGATTGGGAGCTCTGTGTATGAAACCATAAAATGTATAGTTGTGATATTTTCAGATGACAAAGTTGGAGAGGATAGCTTACACATTGGATGATGGAACTGGGATCTAAAAAGTCTCAATAGTCTAGAACAGTGGGAAAACCTGAGAAAGATGAAATTTAATAGGAATGAATGTGAAGTTCTACAATTGGGATAAAAAAAAATCACCTTCTTAAGAACTGGATGAATGAGTGTTGGTTAGGGAGCAATTCTCATGAAAAATATCTTGAGGTTTTGACTGGAATACAAGCTTACTGTGAATCAACAGTGGAACATGGGAGACCTAATGGCATCCCCAGGTTGTGTTGAAAAATAACCTCCAGAACCAGGGAGGTGTTAGTTAATGCTCTTCTCTGCCCTGGGTATTGTGTTCAGTTCTTGGAGTTACACTTTAGGAAGGATGTAGAGAAATTGGAGCATTCAAAAAATGGACAATCAGAATTATGAAATTAGAAATGATGCCATATAAAGATTTCTTGAAGTAACTGGGAACATTTAGCCTTGGAGAAAAGAAGACTTAGAAGGAACATCACAGGAGTTTGAGCATTTGAAGGACTATCATGGGCAAGAGATTACACTTGGTCTCTTTGGTCTCAAACAAAACTAGATGTAATGAGTGGAAGTTATGGAGTCAGATTTAGGCTAGATATAAGGAAAATTTTCCAAGTAAATAGAGCTATACAAAATTGAAACAGGCTGCTTCAGAAAGTAAAGGGTTTCCCTTCACTTGTAGAGGGTCAGGTGTGGTTTGGACTCGATGGCCTCTTAAGTTCCTTTGGACTCTTGGATGCTTGATTCGAGGTGAGTGGTAGAAATGGTAGAAAGGAGGTTGTGATAGAGAAGGGCGGACTGATGGAAGAGAAGTGGGAATCCAGGGATTCAGCACGTTCATGGTACTACAAATTTCTAGAGCCAACTTCTATCAATAAAACACAATTTTAAACATTTCTTTATGTCTTATCTGCTGGCAATGCCACCTAGGAAAGAGCACTAGGCTGCTAGAAAACTGGATTCAAATTCGAGGACTGGTATTTCCTGCATTATCACAGAATCTTAAGAGTTGGATGGGGACTGAGGTGGGAGGGACCATTTTGTCCAAATCACACATGAAAAAGGTCCTGTCTACAAGATGCTTACCAAGCGGTCTTTCAGCCTTTGCCTAAAGATCACCAGGGAGGAGGAAGTCCACTACTTTCTGAAGAAGTCCATTCCACTTTTAGGTCATTGTTATGAAGTTTTCTTTATCTCATGTCCTTTAACTCTTTATAAATTCTACTCATTGCTCCTAAATCTGCCCCCTGAGGCTAAACAAAACTCATCTAATCCTCTTTCCACATGACAGCCCTTTAAATAAGAAAGACAGCAATTATGTCTGCAGTATTCCATTCTTTCTCCTTCAGGCTGATCCTAGCTAGCTTTTTAAACTGACATTTCATCATCCTAGCCACACTCCTCTAGATTGTTTCCAACTTACCAATGTCCTTCCCCAAAATTCGACATCCAGAGCTGTACATAATACCTCAGACATGGTCTGATCAAGGCTGTATGCTGTGGGACTGCTACCTCCTCCATCCTGAAAACTAGGTCCCTCTTCATGTAACTAAGATTAAATTCACTTTTTTGGTTACCACAATCACACTCTTCACTGACATTGATCAGACCCCTCAGTAACTAAGTTTCTGAACCTATAAAATGATTAAGTAATTATCCTTCTCTACTTAAAGAATTCTCAAGAAAATTTTTTAAACAAGAAGACATATTTGAAAGTGTTTTGAATTCATCATAAAAAGGACAGAATGCGGATTAAAATTGTATTATACAAATATATAATATATATCAATATATGTAGTTACTATATACCTGCGTCCTTTTCTTCTACAAGTACACATAATTATTCTTGTCATTTCCTATGTACTTTTCAGTTACTCTGAGAAAGTGTCAATCAAGTATCAATTTGCCAGACTACTTTCCAGTAAGCACTGACCTCTATCCCTATACTGAAGCACACTGAAAAAAACCAAAAAACTCAGTACAATACAATATATGCAATTTGTTTTGTATAATGTATATCCTTTGGGGCAGCAAGGTAGCGAAAGGAATAGAGCACTGGGCATGGAATCAGGAAGACTGATCTTCACAAGTTCAAATCCAGCCTCAGACACTTCTTAGCTGTGTGACCCTGGGCAAGTCATTTAACCATGTTTGCCTCAGTTTACTCATCAGTGAAATAATCTGGAGAAGGAAATGGCAAACTACTCAAAGATCTTTAACCCCAAAACGGGTTAAGAAGAGTCAGACATGTCTGAAACAACACAATATATATCATTTAACCATTAGAATAATGAATAAGAACCATTATTATTACTAGCTAGAAAAATAACAGATTAAAGAATAAAGCAAAGATACAAATAATTTATTTAAAATTAGAACTTCAGAAATACAAACTAAACATTTAAGCACAATTTTAAAAGTCAGCAGTCATTTAAAAAAAATACATACTGTAATCACTTTAACCACACACTTTTTCTACAGGTTTTAGAGAAAAAACTAAAAATAAACAACAAATCAATTTTTAAAACTCTATTATCTACATAAAACACTACTTCTCCCCCAAAAAACAAACAAATGGAACTGTAAAATGAACAAAGCCACCATAGCATGAGTCCACCAATTTCAGTAATTAATGCAGCAAATTAGATTCAGAATGGTATGCAAGGTTAAAAAGCACCTCATTTTTGGAAAAATACAATTAAGTACATGGATATTCTCCAAGGCAGTCTTTTACCTTTTTTTTTTTACTGTCATTTACTTTATTTATGAAATTTTAACATGGCACAATAGGTTCTATCTTAGAAAGCAAACTCAGAAAACCTTTAAAGTGTTTTTTTATTAAATTTTCTGTTTAATTCCATGGCAAAGTAGTCATACACTTTACCTAGAAGAGACTATGAGGAGGGACCACAGTTTAGCAAATTTACTTCAATTAGATATATAACCATCAAGATAAAAACCGGCATATTAAATAAGCAAACCATCTTTCCAACTTGGTTTATGAATGGGTCACTAATAGTTTTCATGCTGTATCCATTTCCTAGGAATACCTTCTGTATTTTTATACTGTATCCATTTGACAGTATTTCATTTTTTGGATAGTAAAACTTCTGTCCTTCTTGCCTATCTTGATCTGAAAGCACTGTGGTATTTAATGTACTGTAAATACAACTACACAAATCATCAGAATGGACCACCACGAATTAGACAATTGTTTAAGTCCAGTTCCTGAAAACATTGACAAAAGTAGGAATAAGACTTGGAATTAAGTGGGCACACAGAAACACACCACTACAGAAGGTGTTGTTTTTGTTATTTTAACAAAAATACCATCCCCTCCCCCCCACAAATCCCACTTTAAAATATTATAATTTGCACGATCAGTGGTATCTACATTAGAGTGAAAAAAAGTTATCTGCACACTCCCCAAGAACAGCTTTATCAATTATACATATTTCTACCTGTAGCATGCATGAAGCTTTTTATAATCAAATATACAAAATCAAACTTGCTTACATATTTGTTGAATAGCCTGCCAAGTGCTTTCTGTAATAATTAGCATAGTTTGGACTTTCACACCTAGTTGGCTCAGTACACCTTGAGGCTAAAGTGATCAAATTCCAAGATTCACTAGACCTTTGTTCTGATTAGCAACATGCCACTTTTTATTATCAGATTCTTTGATTAAGGTACAATTATATCTCATCATGGTATCAAGTTGACCATGAGTTCTCTAAATGTAAACCATAAACTCTAACAGGCCTTTCACCAAGCTGGAAAAGTTTCTAGTACAAGTCCAGCAATGTACGTTAACCAAGGACTAAAATAGCTAAGTTCAGAGAGCTGACCATCAAAGGATAAATTCTTTTTGGCCCCAGCAACTTATGAAATTGGTTGATAAGATGTGGAGAGATCTCAGTTGTAGGAGTACCTATTCATACCAATGAAATTAAAGATTCTTGACGTATAAAAGAAAGGATTCTTTGCTAAACTTTTACATATAGTTTCCATTCTTTTTAGTAACATATAATTAATAAAACTATGTTTCTTAGGGAAAAAAACCACAGAGTCTTTATTTGTTGTTTTTTATTTTTTAACGACTGCTCTACCTTCAATGGCAAAACTGTTTTCCTTTCAAAGACAGAGAGAAAAATGAACAAAGGGAAACTGTCTACACACTGCTGTAAAGTACAAAATTTTTATATCAAAATTTTTAACCAAATCTCATCAAGCTCTGTTGTTTGTAATTCTTTCTAATGGAAGTGTACTAAATCTGTATAATTCTATAGACTGGAAAAAATTTTAAGTGAAGCGAAGCAATATTGTCGAATTGCCCCTAATCCTTGACTAAAACACTTTAGAACAAGGCCAACATACTCAAAGAACTAAGTCCCATACCCATCTTTTCCTGCCAACCACTGAATTTTGTTACAACTACACTAGCCTCTTAACCCAAACTGCTATTACATTGTAACTTTGAAACCAAAAATTTTGTAAAAATTAGTTTTTAACTACTTTAAACCCTTCAGGATATATTAAGCCTGGTCCACACATTTCCTACACTCTAACTTTAAATTACTTTTCATCTCAACTACATGCAAGATAAACTGTAAAGGTCCAAAGAAGAAGAGGAAAAGATGTCTTAATATTCTTATACTTCAAAACTTTAGTAAAGGTAAAAGAAATGAAAATATTGGTTGATGTGGTATTTTGCTAAATTTTCATAAAATTAAATTTCTTTGAAGATTAGTTATGAATAATGAAATTCATACCTCAAAAGAATGAAAATAATGTGAGAAATGTTATTGCACAAATGAGATTAGCAAAGGAAAAAGAAAAAGGTGTGAGCAAGCTAATGTCTGATTAGGTAATACTGAACTAGGAAATTTTAGCAGCTTTTATGGAAAATTTTAATGTTATGAGAAGTAGAACTTTGGCACTAGGGCAACACAGGGTAGTTTTTCTTTGTCTAACTCCTGGTAGGAAATTAGGCACTTAACTGTAAAAATAGAAAAATAGGGTGCATTTAGAAAGAAATCTAAAATGATCCATAAAAAAACAATTAGCACTATCCAAAGACTGAAAATGTTTCAATTATTGTTTATCAAGAGACCAATAAGACATGATATCACTAGAGGGGAAAAAAACCCCTACATAATAAGCCCATTTGGCAACTACAAACATATCACTACTGCGTTCACTCTAGGATTAGACAGCCAAAGAAAGCAGACGGAAATTTCCTTGGCAAAACATTCCGGATCCAAAGAATTCTTAACCTGAGTGCTACTTATTCATGAACACAGAAAAAATAATTCCAGCATAAATATTATTAATATTAACTGTATTCTGGAAGGTTTCAGTGTTTATTTTACATAACTTTAAAGAACGGATTCCCAGTGAGTTACAGGAAATGACAAATAGGTCTTCAACTCCTAAATTAAGTCTCAGATTATTTGAATGATGTCAGAGCTCTAAATGGTTGTAATCCTAGGAATCTAATTAGGAATTATAATCTCTAGCACAGTTTTAGTATTCTCTTCCTCCTGAAATTACTTTTAATATACTTTTTATCAATTCATTTGCATACATAAACTCTCCCAACAGAATTTAAACTTGAGAATGAGAGTGGGAATTGTCTCATTTTTGGCTGTGTACTACTAAAGCCTTATCTACGTTAGGAGATGCTTTAAAAAAATGGCTGTTAAATGGAATTGAATTAACAACTCTAACATTCTATAGATACCATGATTCTATGTGCTTGTGGTTAAAAGATATTAGAACATTTTTTCAAGACTTTCCAAGAGTTAAAACATTTCCCCAAAGTTAGATTATGAATGTTTTGATTTATGGATCTACTTTTGATGACTTCAAAATAAAATATTTTCCTCATACATTTGGGGAACTTTTTAACCAAATAAAGGGCAAAAGAGATGGTTCCTCACCACCACCACCACCACTACCACCAGCACCACCACCACTAATTTCTCTCCAAAATGTGGGATTTTTTAAAAGCTATGAGAGGGAAAGATTGCCCTAAAAGCAAAGATAGTGGGGAGGGTAGCTCAAGTTCTTCAATCAGCATATACCTTCAAGTCTGTACATACCTTACTTAAGAGCAGAATTTAAGAGGTAAGGGTGTATGGGCCATCTACTGACACCCATAACCAAATCTAAGTACTAATTCCTCCTCTACCCCTCAAAAAAGGAGGAGAATATTTTCTATTTAAATAGAGGTGAAGCAGTATGGTATAATGGTAAAAAAGGAAATATTTGGAGACAGAATACCTAAGTTTGGGTCCCAGCTCTCATACTTACTAGCTGTATGACCCTCGGTAAATCATTTAAAGAAACAAATTTCACAAAAAAGTTTATATAAAGTATATTCACTTTATGGAAAGTGAATATAATTTGAAAGACGTCAGAATTCTGATAAATGTAGGGATCAATCATGACTTCAGAGAACTAAGTATGAAGCGTGCTTCAAGCTTCTCAGAGAAGAGCAGGCAGTGGGTACAGAACAAAGCACGTTCTCAGATATGGCTAATGTGTTGATTTGGCTGTATTTATTTGTTACAAGAAAGAGTTATGCTAGGGGATGAGGGAGCAAGAATGAAGTGTCAGTAATATTAATCAAGTATTTACAAATAAAATAAAATAAAATAAAATAAAATGGCTTTAATAATATTTTTGCTATCTCCAAATCCAACCAGCATTTACTAACTCCCTACTATATGCAAGGCACTATGCTGGAGATAAAAAAACAAAATTAAAAAACAGGATTAATGTAAAAAAAGTACGTTGTAAAGGGCCATATAAATAGGAGCTATTATTTAAAATATTGAAAAAGGTACACAATTGGGAAACAGGTCAAGAGTGCTTAAAACTAAAAATAAACCTCATTCTAGTATGTTTTTAAATCAAAGAATAAGAACACATACAGTGGTATTATTAACAAATGGAATGACCTTTGTGCTTGCTTTCTCCCATGTGAGAGAAGGGTTTCAATTATTGCTTCCTTTAAGTAAGCCGAGCTACAGGGTTGGATGAAACACTTCACTGGTGAAGATCCCATTCTTTTAAAGATACTTTGATACTCACTAAAGATCTGTTTCTTAAGGCAATTAATCATCTTTACTGAAGAATTTCTGCAGTTTCATCGTGTCCTATTGGATATGCCTGCGAAGTTTTTTCCCCTGACTCAAAAGCAGAAAAAACAAAACAAGGCTGGAATCTTCCTGCTGCAAGTCAGAAGGCCAAGCAGCCGGCTTTTGTTCCCCTCCCAACAATTCACTGTCCTGTACATAACTGGTTCATTGCACTGGATTTCTTTTTATATAGAATGTATTACATAATTATTTTCCACATTAACCAAAAAAGAACATTAGTTCTCTAAAATAATGCAATAACCATTTAGATAAAATTTCCTAAATTTGAAGATGCTTTAGTTTAATTCTCTTTGGAGGAAAACATAATCTTAGTACAATTCACAGAAGAAAAAGCTATTTTGAAACAGTTCAATTATTAAGAAATAAAGTGCATACAGCTTTCAATATAAATATTATTCAGCATCGTATAGCTGAGTATTTGAATGCACAAGATTAGCAAAATGCTGTCAAAAGGAAGCCTCAATATGACATTTGAAATCTGGAAAACAAGAGATGAGAATATAAATTCTATATAAATTATGAAGTTTTTTTTTTAAAACATACCTGAAAGAAAATATAAGGACAAGTGAAAATTAGGAAGAATTAAATAATTTCTCAGTTTTCCATGGCACCAGATACAACTACACAGCAATACCAACAGGCAGCACCTGAAATGCAGAGTCGCATTCTGATTGATGACCTTGAACTTCTGCATTTGATTTACAAGTGTCTGGTGTCTGACTGGTTTCATCTTGCAAAGGAGCAGCTTTGTTATCAGCTATATTAGCAGCAGCAGCTGAGTCAGACAAGGAACATGAACATGGGGCCGAAGTAATTTGAAGGCTACCATCTTCTATGCCATCCTCAAGACTGGTCCTCTCATCAGCATCTTCTAGCTGCTGAACTGAAGTTAAATACTGTTCAAGAAGACTATTATCCTGTTCATTATTAGAGCTATCTTTATTCCATTCATTGTGATCTTCACTGGTATCCCCTGTATCTGTATTTTTGAAATATCTAACTGTTTCTAAGGAATTCCCCATTAAAGAACTCTCACTTCCTCCCATGGAACTCTTTTCAGAATCAAATGAATACTGCAAGTGAGCTTGTTCTGCAAGGGAGGAGTGAAAGCCAGAGTCTGGGAATTCAGATAAGACTTTCTCCTGGGGAGCTTCAGCATCTGAAATAAACCAGTGAGAAGCATTGGCCAAAGAGGGCTCCTGACACGAGATAAATAATGGAGAAGACTGGCAGGACAACAGAGTACTGGATACAGGAGCACTGGATTGCCAGGCAGAACTGAGGTGCTGGTTCACTGTCTGCTGCCAGTCTTGTAGTGATCTCACCTGCAAAACACAGAATGAAATCTCATTATGGAACAAGAGGCTCGTAATTACGCAGTGCATTTTAAAAGACAAACATAAACTATCATCAGTAGGACATGCACCTAAGTTATTTCTTCTGTAGTTATAAAGGAACAGTGTCTATGTCCAGTTAGCCCAGTTACTAATGAAATCCAAGTGGTGAACTCAGTGCAGATGAAGGCTTTGTCTGCCATGTTTAATCACCACAGAATATACTCCTACTTTCTGCCAAAGGGAATTAGGTGAGAGAAGAGGGATGAACCAAGAGGAAAAATAATTCAAAGGAACAGTGGGTTACTAGTATTATCTTTCTATGTGAAAGACAGACACTGGCATATGCCTTTTATAAGCGAGAGACAAAGCTATTAAATATGACAGATTAAATCCACTGAATGAAAGCAGAAAATAACTATACAATATATACAACTATAACCATGATTTGGACATGCAGGCAGGCAGAAGGGTTTCCTAAATGTTAATCAATGATAAAATAAATATATTCTCTGAAAATATCTCAGTAACTCCCAGTTTATGGCTACTAGACTCAAATCACATGAAGATTCTAAAAAGCCTATAGGTCAAATTCCCGCTACAAATACCATCACAAAAAGATTCCAAGCCTTGGATTGATCAACCAGAGATCATCAAGCAGTATTTGACACAGTAAAATTTCAGGATAGAAAATAATTCAGATGGTCTCCTGTAAATAAGCATCAACTTGTATTCACTTGATACGACAAAGCAACTCATGCTATATTTCTCCAGACATACAATTATGTAGCCATACACTTTCTAAAAAACTCAACTCATAGTCAAATGTATGTTAAAGTGTCCCACAAAGTAGCTAGATACTCTATTTTAAAAAAAACAAACAACTTAAATTTGGTTGTTGCTATTTCTTGGAAAGAATAAGAGTTTTCCTTATAAGTATATTCTACCTATCAGTCCCTCAGTCAAAAAACATTTATTAAGTGCCTATTATTCCCAAAGCAATTACTACCCTAACCAATGTCATTTTAACATTCCTTCATCCAATAGGGAAAAATATCTACTATATACATGACATCTTACTAGGCACTAGAGGAGGAAGTACAAAATTCAGATAAAGTACTTCATAAAACTTACAGTCTACTAGAGCGAGAAAACACAAACATGGATAATGACACTAGACAAGATTACATGGTAAGTGAATTGGAAAGATATAAAACAAAGTGCCATGTGAAGTCTGAAAGGATAGGGTCATTACAGACAAGGAGGAAGGACAGGCAGTGGTTGTGATGGTGGTTCAAGAGGCTTCAATGGAGAAGCCTGTATTAACTTGATCAAATTTAAAATGTCGAACTTAAAAGGATGGATGGGAATTAGTGGGAGCAAAAGCCAAAAACAGAAGAGTGTTGAGAGTTTTTGTGCCCAGAGCACAGAACAGGAGGAACAAGAGCAATATGTGATAATGAGAGAAAGGCTCGATAGCACCAAACTCAAGGAGTGTCTTGAGTGCAAAGCAGAAAGTCTGAGGATATGGGACTAAAGTTTGAAATAAAAGTCATTAATAAATTGTAATCAAACTTTGCCCCTATAATGCTGTTCTACCTAATGGCATGTTTTCATAGAAACTCTATTAGCCATTTCCCTTCTCCTTTGAATTTTATCTTCATTTTCTTAAACTACTCAGAAAACAAAAATTTTTTTCATTTAAAATACAACTAAAATGTCACCCACTCAATCTGCTATTCCCACATAGGAAACTAAATGGCAATTAATGCACTTGCTATCCCTAATCTTTGCAAAGCGTAGCTAAGGTGCCGGGGTGTGCAGACTTACCCCTTCTTCTCCCAGAAATGTATCTTTTGTTTACACAAAGAGTTAAATCAATGGAAGGGAGTTTACCTGGTTCCAAAGGAATCTGACAGCCTCTTCTTGCAGAAGCTTTTGAATATGCTCTTCATCTCTTTCTTTTTTCAATCTACAATTTAAAATGTTCAGATTACCAAGAGAAGATAGAACTATGAACTTCTGGTTAGCACAGCCAATGCACACTGTCTCGAGAGATTAATTTTCTAATAGCCTAGTAATGATCTTTCTACTTCTGTATCTCATTTTAAATGAAAATCTTAAATGGAAGTAAAATAGCCATGTGAACTCCTAGTAAATATGAATTAACATCACAACCAACAAATAAAGAACTTGCTCACTTCTACATAGCACTCACTGTGTAGAACAGTAACACAATTACAGTAACAACCAGAATGTCATGCATAAAACAAAGTACTAAATACTTTTAACTATGCTTGTGAGAAACTGATTATAAAGTAGTAATTCAATATTATTCTGTCTCAACTAATGGATACTGAAGAATTGTAGATACATAGAAACATGTAGTTTTAAATTTATCCTCTTTAAAGTTAATGAAAAATAGACTGTCATTCACACTGGGAAAGAGTCAGGTGCGTTGTTTTGTGGGAACTGACTGATGCATCAAAACAAAATGAATCCCTAACAGTTTTTTTTTAAAGAGAATAAAGTTAATAAAAGGTCACTTAATAGGTTTCTCAGTTCAGCATTAATAAAAATAGGTATATGTTAGAAACTTTAACATACCCAATAATTTTAATCTGCCCTTTTATATTTATTTTGGTACATTTCATCCATGACCCCAGGTGACTGTAATATACTTGATGAATTCTTTAACTACAATGGAGTTGATGCATTTACATTTTAAGTTAGGCAGCCTTAATAAATATCATTATTATTCAACACAGATCTATAAAATTTTAACTGTTTTATCTGAGAAAGTAAATGGATTATGTGAGCTATGAAACTTAAGAAAGGGCTCTGCAAACTTTAAGAGTCTATTAAAATGTGACATTAGTATTATTACAGAAGCCAATCCAAATCATATTTATTTTCTGGAAAATTATAGCATCTTCTGGCCTCCTGCTGTTTCTGGACTTACTGTCTGACAGCCTTACGCTATCTACTGATTTTATTTCCATCTTTCCATCTAGGACCTAAGAAAACACAAGCTCCTTGAGTATAAGAACAATTTCATTTCAGTCACTCTGTCCACAGCACCTCGCCAAGTGTCTAGCACACAGTAGGCACGTTATAAATGTTTGGTAAATGACTGACTCTGACCCCTCTGAAATAGTCTTTTCTTGACTTTACAATTCTTTCGCATGTCCAGAAACAAATATGCTTTAATTTTCAAGGATATGTAATTTCACTCGTGTGAAATATCACTCTCTTGCCACAGATCACAAAGCCTACTACTATGCCTTAGTAATAGGCCTTCATGAGTTGCTCTCGCTGAGAAATTTATCACCCTGTAGCCAAACTTGTAATGAGCTTGTTCAGACATATCCAGGCTAGCTTTGGTCAACAGACACACAGTCTGGGGCTGGCCCACATTCAAAGCCTTTCCAGCATGGTAGGGCCTGACAAAACATACACTCCAGTGATAGAGCCCTCAAGGGGCCAGGTTACCTCCATACCACAAAGAGGCATCAGAGGAAGACCTAAGTGCAGGTTTCCAAAAAGAAAATCCTTTTGTGCACAGTAAGTTTAACCTGTATCCCAGACACAGAATGATAACTCAATCTTCCAAAACAAAATAAGGCCTCTATTCACAAACCAGGTACCACCAGGCATAGAACTTCTGACCCACCTCCTTATTTCATCTGTTAAGTAAACAATGTGCTCTTGCATCCTCCTCAGCCGTATTTCATAGCGCACTTCTTTGGCTCGAGGATGGTAGTTCCTGATGTAAAATCCCCTCCAGCAGGCCTGGAGCTTGGTGGCTGCATCATTCATTTTTTGAAGTGTGGTGGAATCTTTGTCCAAAGCAACAGATCTCTCAGGGAGAAGCCTGCAGGGAATTTTTTCTGAAATGATCTGAGACAATGTACCTTCATTAACAAGCTGTGCACTAGAAAGCCTGAATCCACATGTCCCAAGAAAAGCTGTGGGGGAATGACTAACACCATCTCTGGAGACATCACTTGCTGTAGCCAGCTCAGGGCAGAGCAATATTCCATCTCTGTCACTGGTCTCTGGGTTTCCCTCATCATTTGCTGGTTTAACAGAACTCTCTTTCGAAATCCACAAAGTCTTTTCTACTTCCTTGTCCACATCCTGTTTTTTCATTTCTTTCAGTGACTCAATCACAGTTTCATCATCTTCCAGATCCAAGTTTATACCATGTAATCTCAGTTCAATAGTAGGAGATACTGGGGATAATCCCGAGGCAACAGGCATAAAAGTAGACTCTGAAGAAAGAAGACTACAGTTCAGCTTGTCTTCATCTGTCTGTATGTCTTCTAGATGTAGGTCATTTCGAGAAAACCTTGCAGTCCGTACTGAGGCTGCCAGGTTACTCTTAACAGCATATAAGTGATCCTCATGGGCACTTATCCCAACCCAAGAATTTACTTGAATGACAGGTTCTAGAAGAAACAAAGGTAGTTTCATTTGAATTACTAAGAATTTGAATGGTCCATTTTTTACCTACAAATTCTACATTAATATCAAGTATCTTAAAAAAATAAGCAAGCAGTCAAATAACACGTGATTCTCCACAATATTCCCCAAATCCCAAACCTGATGTTTTCTAAAAATCCAGTGACTTCACAGTTGCTAATAAGTCATCAGACCCTTATTCTAAAATGACAATGTTATAAAAAAAATTTAAATAATTTAAACCAAGAGAACAAACAGTTCTCAAAAGAATTGCAAAAAAAAAATCAACCGTAAGTATGATCATTTCAAATCACCAATAAGTAAAATAAAAATCAAAAGAACTCTGAAATTTCACCTTATACCCAGAAAAATTAACAAAAATAACAAAACCAAGAATAGCCAGCATTGGAAGGATTGTAGAAAGTTGGCCACATCATGGACTCTTAAAGTCGTGAGAAGTATGTAACAAACATGCCTCTCAAGAAAAACAGATTCCAACATTGTCCATTGCCCAAAAAAATATAAGTCTCATTCTGCAGTCTGAGTCCATTATTTCTTTATCAAGAAGTGAACAGTATAGGGGGGGCAGCAAGGTGGTACGGTGGATAGAGAACCAGCCCTGAAGGCAGGAGGACCTGAGTTCAAATCTGGCTTCAGATTAAACACTTGACACTAGCTATGTGACCCTGGGCAAGTCACTTAGCCCCAATTGCCTTAAAAAAAAAAAGTGAGTAGTATGCTTCAACACTGGTCCTCTGAAGTCATGGTGAATCATTGCATTAATCAGGAGCCTTAAGGCTTTCAGATTTGTTTGTTAGTGTTGTTAATTGTGTAAATTGTTCTACTTGTTCTGCTCACTTCACTCCACATCAGTTCATACAAATTTTCCAAGGATTCTGGAGAGCCCCTTTTATCATTTCTAATGGCACAACAGTATATTACATTCATATGCCATCATCAGTTCAGCTATTCTCCAAATGATGAGTACCCTCTTAGTTTCATTTTTTTTGCAACTAAAAAAAAAGAACTGCTATAAATATTTTTGTACACATGGGTCCTTCCCTTTCTTTGATCTCTTTAAGGTATAAGCCTAATAATGTTATTGCTAGGTTAAAGGCTACACAGTTTAGTAACTTTTGGAACATAGCTTCAAATTGCTTTCCAGAATGGCTAGACTAATTCATAGCTCCATTAACAATGCATTAATGTGCCTCCTCTCCTGCAGCCCCTGCAGGAAAAATTGGTTAGTTTTGTTCAACTGGTATTTTTTCCGTAACTTTCTTATACGTTGTTACAATCGACAGCTTGCTGGGCAAAGGGAATGAGAAGGATGATTCTGGAAATCAAGGTGACATAAAAACAAAAGCTATAAACAAAAAATTTTGGAAGAATTTAGAAATAGAAAAAGTTGACCTATAGTCTAAAACCAAAGCCCTAATAAAAACCAAAACATATGCATATGTACTATGTGTATGTATGCACACACAATACATGCATATTGCCACGGACACCCTTCACAGAAGCACATGGGAATCTTACCACTTTCCAGGACTATTTGGCCCCCTGGAGCTGGATCTGAGTGCTCAGGTGCAATGGCTACCTCTGTTTCACTAGCAGTTGAAGATGAAGATTCTTCATTTTGGTTTTGGCACATCAACTGCCTCTGGTGAAGCCTAAAAACCAATAGCATATCAAATTTAATTTACAGTTTACATCATGCGGCAGCTCACTGTTTCAGATCAGGTAGCTCCCCCATCCCACCACCTCCCAAATTTCAAAGCCTTGTCTTGGAGAACTAAAAAAGAAGGACTAGAAATAATTCTCCAGATGGCACTTAAATACACAATACCCTTTAAAGCCTTACCCAGCAACAACCTGATCTCTACATATGATATGACTAAATATTTTCTGTTGTCTTCATAAGCAAGTATTTAAATACACATTTGGAAACATTAATTGGGTAAACAATACTATAAATGTATATTGATATATACATGCATACACACTGTACCAATGCATCTATATGTGTGTATGTAACTCCCTTTCACTCTCTGCCCACCTGGACCTCTCCCCCATCAACAATGAAAGGCAATGGAGCCCTCGGTTTTATGGTCAGAACCATACTCTGGTGTCTCTGCTACTATAAGCCCAACAGTAATAAGGAGTTTTGAGTACTCAGTAATGGAAGGTGCAGCACTTGTTGCATCAGTCAACAGGCATTTATTAAACACTTATTACATGTCAGACACTGTGGTGGGAATACTTTGATTGAATGTTGGAATTAGAACTACTAACAACATACGGCTGAGCTGAGAATGCTTTTCCTCTGGAATTCATCAACTGCTACATATTTGACATACTCACCTCTGTTTGCTCAGTATCTTCTCCAGTTTGGCATCCTCTGCAGTTTGAAGGCCCAGAGTAGAAGTAAGAGGACAAACAGTTGCCAGATACTGGACCAGCTGGATGTGTTGACCAGGTCGATATGACCTTCCTTTGCCTTGACTGTAAAGCCATTCAGCCTTCAAACTGAAAAAGAGAATGAATGAAGTATAGTCTAGGATGGCAAGGCCCAGTATAAAGCATTTGGTGATTGCTGACCTTCTCTTCAAGCCTCATCCTCATCTTATGACCTCAAGACATGCTTGCACCAATGCGGCAACACTACAGAATGATTAGCTGTCCAGACCATGGATGATGCCTGAGGACAACTCTGGCTCTTGGAGTCTTTTGCTCATATACTTAATGTTAACTTCTGATAAAAAGTCTTAGGAATCTTCTTCATAAAATTCATAGAGTCATAACTGACCTATCTGGTTCGCTGCCCTTACTAAATCATATTTGAAACCATATTTCTAATGCTAAACAGCATTAACACTGAAGCTCTATCACTTTGACACAAAAACCTATTCTCATTCTGAAAATCATTATAAAGATGCAAGAGCCCTCTCGAGCCTTTTAAAATGCACAAGTTATGTCCATATCACCACCAATTCACATACCACCTGCCCACTAGAGGCCTGTCACAGACTATGGGGGAAAAAGATAATTTTCCTAACTTTTTTTTTTAAATTTTCCTAACTTCTTAAGACTCCTAATATACAAGCTGCAAACATATTGGTCTCTGGGACATAAAATACAGTCAATTTAGTTTACTATGACTTGTCTTCATGCCAGAATGGAAAAAATGGTTCTTGGCTGTGTGGTTGAATTATACTAAACTGAAGTGACTATCTAAATTCTGGTCTAGTTAACTGTCAAGATTAACATGAAAAAGTTTTCTCTGTTTTTATAAAATAGTGTAATTATAGGATCTAAGTGAATTATTTATGGACTTACAAGATCAGCATCATAATGAGGAAAACCTCATCTTACCTTACATTGCGCTTTATAATTATAGGGAAGACTGGTTTACCTTCAGGAAACTGCAAGCTCCTTTAATAAACCTAAATTTTTCCCAAAAACAAAAGCCCATCTTTTTAGGACAGAAAGGAAACACAGTACTGTACATTAGAATGAGCACTGACTTTGGGGTCCAAGGACCTGGATTCAAATCTAATTTTTTGATGACCTCATGTGACTTCCGAGCCCCAGTTTCTTCCTGTGTAAAATAAAGGGGTTTGACTAGATACCTCCTCATGTCCCCTCCAGCTCTGGATCTAAGACCTTATGATATTCTAACGAACCTGTATATCATAGAATATTATCATCCTCAAAGAATTAAAAACCTGTATCACTAAGAGAACAATGGAGGAGCACAAGATGGGTGTGATCAGGCTGCAATGCATAAGAAATATGAAGCTAAAAGGAGGAACTTCAGTAAAGGGTGCTGTCAAGGCAATGTACGCTCCAATGGGAAGATGGGCTGACCATCGGGCAACTGTCAGGGGAAAGATGATGGCATGCACATGTGCTCCAGTGGCATCCTGGCAATGTGAGGAGAAAGTAAATGAGATGCTCAGCAGCACATGGGGCAGGTGCCATGGGAGGGCACAGACAAACATTACACAAGATGGCCAAGCTCAGATGGGCTGTGATATGCATCACTGAATGAATGAGTGAATGAATGAATGAATAAGCATTTATTAAAGCCTTATCCCATGCCTGTCACTGTTCTAAGTGTTAAATACAAATACAAAAGGCAGATGGACCTTACCCTCAATGAGCTTACATTTTAATAGAAGCAGACAAGAGGTATAGGGAAATGGTGGCTAGGGATGGGTGTTTTGGTTTGGGAAGTCACAGGGCTGGTAAGTGGAACCAAAGGAATAAAGGAATTGATGAGATCCCAGATCCACTTAAGTATGTGAAGTATTTATCAATGTTCATGTCTTCTCCTGTTACTGCAAGCTCCCCCGGTGCAGGGACCATGTCTTAGACAAACATCCTATGGCCTTAGAACCTGCACAGCAGTGCTATTTACATACAGATTGTTTGACATATATCAAATTTGTTAAGAGAGACAACTCACAACATAGAATATGCCCTTTCTACTCCTTCTAAAAAAAATATCACTGTTCAGGGGCAGCTAGGTGGCGCAGTGGATAGGGCAACAGCCCTGGAGTCAGGAGGACCTGAGTTCAAATCTGGCGTCAGACACATAACACTCACTAGCTGTGTGACAGTCACTTAACCCCAATTGCCTCACAAAAAAAAATCACTGTTCTTTACATTTTTGTTCCCAATATATTTCAAATTCAACAACATAAGGGGACAACTGCTATTAAAGTATGGAACAGAGGTCTCTAATATGTAGAAAGATTTCCAAATAACAGTCAGGTTCTGGTGAACTCAATAGATATCACTTACTCTTGTTTATGCTTAAAGCCTCAGCCAAGTATCAATATCAGCAACTCCACTATTCAAAGTATCTCAGGTAGAATCATGTAGACAATATTCTGACCACCTAAATCTATTAAAGAAATATAATGAACACTAAAGAAATTTTTTGTAATGGTGGAGAGTTTTAGGCATCAATCAACAAGCATTTATTAAACACCTATTATGTGCTAGACATTGTGCTAGGAACACATCCACTACACACTGGAATTAAAACTACTAATAGCATAGGGGTGGTGAGTGTTTTTACAAAACCTGTATGTTCTTGGCAATAACAATTAAACTGAGTACATACACAAAATCAAAAATTCATTCTCAGGCTCCTGAGATCTAAGGCTGAAGTGTAGACCAGGAAAGTAGCTTGAAGGTTTTATTCACCTTATTAATTCTTTTACTCCCAGATTCAAGATTATAAATAGATGGCTTATTTTTAAAAAAGAAAAACCCTCCACTGATGATCTGTCTAGCTATATAAACAGATTCTAAACAATACTGCAGTCATTGCAAAGTTTTGTACAAAATGTTTAAACCCAAAAGAAAACTATTTGGAAGTGAAGACACTTAGACATTGTATAACTGTGTTCTATTTTCCTTAAAGCCCCCTTTAGCTTCAACTGGTATAGATGCTCTCCAAAATCCCTACCCATAAACTCTCAGGTAACATGGATATAAGAATGTTAACATCCTGAGTAGAGGTAAAAAGGGGAATTCCAAAAATGGACTCTATCACCCATGCACACTGAAGATAACAAGATTGAATTAATAATCAAACTCCCTCAAACACAAACTAAACAATTACTAGAGTACCATCCACTGCTAAAAAGGGGAAAATCGCCCTTTTAATTGAGGCAGTCCAGGACTTAAATGAGTCACTTACCTACTGACACCTATACTCCGGCTAAGCAATGCTAAATTCGTTCTACTCCCTGCCTTCTACCAGTGTTGTCAGGAATATTTCAGAGAGAGGGAAGAACAAGAAGAGGAATGAAAGCTTGTGGGAAGAGGAAGAGAAAGGGAGAAGAAAGAAGAGAGAAAAACCCCCTCCAGCCACAGCTGCTCATCCTACTAACCAGCATTGGTCAAAGTAGCCAGAAATAAGGGAAAGTGGAGGGAAAGGGGGGGAGAGGAGAGAGAAAGAAAAGAGGGTCACTGAGGCATCTTTTTTTCTCTTTTTAAACCAAGAGAGAACAGAAGGAAGGCTGGAAAGAAGGTCAGACGTGCAGGACAGTTTTCATAGCTATAAGCTGATCTTATGACATACTTAAAAAGGAAAGCAAGCTGTACCAGGAGACATCTGCAGTTTCATGTATAATCATCTTTCTCTGTTCCACCACACAGATGCAAATGCCTGTTCTATTTGGTGTTCATTAACTTCAAAATAAAAATATAAATGAATCTTTAAACTGTTTTAAAGTAGAGGAAAAGACAAGCCATTGTTTCTTCTTTCCTTGCCCTTTTGTGGAGTGGGGAGGAGTAGTTAAAAGGAGAAGAAAAAAACAAAAAAAAAGGAGCAAGAAGGTAACTCTACTTGACCTGTACTCCTCACTAACCCCCAATCAGCTTCTCATTCCAGAATACTGTTTCCCTCCACCAATTCCTCACCCCCTAATCTTTCGGGATCCCTTTCCCTAATGTACTCCTGGTTTTGTTGGAGCCTTTGGACTAAGTGTGGTGCTAGGGACATCCCTATTGGCAGCACAAAGTTTCTGGTGGATGCAAGGAGGGGAAGCCCTCAATTTCCACTGTCAGGGTTACAAGCTGGAACACTAAATGCATTTTCCCATAGAAACATATTTATATATGATGGTTAGGCTTAATAGCACTGTACTTCAATTACCATACAGGTTACAAAGTCTTCTGTGGAGTGCCCTGGGGAGTTAATCACCAGCTGGGGTTTTCCGGAAAGGGAGGAAGAGATGAAGGAAACACGCATGTTTTAGCACCTATTGTTTGCCAGGCACTGTGCTAAATGCTTTACAAATATTTTATCGTGTGATCCCCCAACAACCCAGTGAGGTAGATGTTATTATCTCCATGCTGCAGTTAAGGAAACAGACACAGAGGTTAAGCAATAAAAACTAACATTTACTTTGTGGCAGGTATTGTGCTAAGCGCTTTACAATTATCTCATTAACCCTGGGAGATAAATTCTATTATTATCCCCATTTTACAATTAAGGAAATTAAGGTACATAAAGGTTAAGTGACTTGCCTACAGTCACACAGCTAATGAGTGTTTGAGGGAGGATCTGAACTGGTCTTTTTGCTGCATTTAAGATGGATAACAACAACTACAGACTAAGTCATAAATGCTGTGCTCTACTTACATCAGATACAAATATCACACTAAATATTCCCAGAGTTTATACGTTTTCTCTTTGGAACTACATCACAATGCTAATCTTTTTTTAATATCAAATACACGTATTTATATCAAATACACATCAAATACACCAACGTCACCTTAATGCTCCCACTCCCACTTGTAATGAAGTTAAGTCAACTAGCCCAGCTCAGCCCCCATTCTAATTCCTCCTCCCTACCAGCTCAGTCCAGTCTCTAATGCTCATTCCCAAAGTAATCTTTGCCTGAGACCCACCTGGGCAATTCTGGCACCCCACTGGGAATTCCAGGCTGCTAAGTTTTATTTCTATAGCATTGCCCCCAGATAAGGTCTTGTTTTTGTGGAATCAGTCAATGAAATTATGCAGGGTACACCTGTGGAGCACGAAATCTGCAAATCCAGAGAGAAACTGTCTTCTAAATCTAGTGTTCCTTTTATATACTATAAGGATTATTTACATGCTTCTGCCACATAAAATGGGAAAATGTTGTTGAAATATGCAGAACTAAAAAATCCTGAAATGGGATTTGATGTTCAAGTTAACAAAATGATTTAAAAAAAAAAAGGATGACAATTCTAAAACAGTTAAAGAAAAAATATAAGGAGTTTGGGGATTCTATTTTCTTTTTCCTTCCTTCCTTCCCTCTTTCCTTCCTTCCTTCCTTCCTTCCTTCCTTCCTTCCTTCCTTCCTTCCTTCTCTCTCTCTCTCTCTCTCTCTCTCTCTCTCTCTCTCTCTCTCTCTCTCTCTCTCTCTCTCTCTCTCTCTTTCTTTCTTTCGATTTCATCTCCCCATCTCACTTAGGCTAGAATTTGCTAGGGGTACACATGGACCTGACTCTGTTTTCAACCTGAATGGGTTTGCCCCTCCATAGGTAACTAGGTGGCCCCCTGCTCCCAGAGGTTCACCATAGAGATGCCAAACTGTGAATCTCCAATTTGCATAGCCTACTGTAGCTCAAAACTCCTGAGCTCCAAAGATCCACAAGCTTCAGCCTCCCTGGTAGCTGGGATTACAAGGCATGTGCCTTTTTTCTTTAAACACATTCCACACCTGAGTGTGAAAATAAAGTTCCATATCCTATAACTAATTAAAGAAACCTGCTCCCTAAAAGTAGCTGAGGTAGAAAAAGGATTAAAATCATTCCAGTTTTCAAGGTCTCTGTCCAATTCAACTTTCATTATAGGCTATAGTCATCATGATTCTGCAGAGACAGCACTATACTGGCAAAAAAAAAAAGGCCCCAGGGATATTTTTTTCTGTGGTTCCAAAAAATATCGATTTAGTAGAGAGCTTTCACTATTCTCCAATTTTTTTTGGTTGACCATAAAAGCCTACCTTTAATGCCTCACTCAAAAAAAATCTATATTTAACCAAGAATAGATTAAAACTAGATTCATCTATACAACCTCACAAACTACTCTGCTTATTCATATTCAGAGTACATTGTGCTGAGAAACAAAAAAGGGACAGAAGTGAATTCTGATTTCTTGAAGAACTAGAAAATATAAGAAAAAATAATAGCTACATTCCATGCCCAAAATTTAAAACTGTATCAAAAGCCTGTATATGTTAAATATATTGAATCTTTTATAATAATAAGACCCTCCATAGTGCAGAATTTTCAATAACATGTTCAGGACACAGACCAGTGTGACTTTGTTATCAAAAGTACAGGAAAAACACCATTAAGAGAGAAACATAATAGTCAACACTTAAGTGACTTTTCAGTGACTTTCTTTTCACAGTGTATATTTTAAGAATTATATAATTTATCTATTTCCTGTTAGCTAGAAAAAAGCCTTTTTATTGATTTCAGTGATGTGTGATGCTAAAGAGGTTATATTCACCTTTCCTTTTGAGAAATCACATATCCATCTAGGACTTTGAGGTTTAAGCACCAGCTGACAACGTACGGCCGATAGTCAAAGCCTGGAATGGAAGGTGTGGCCATCACACAGGGATTGTTCATGATTGACAACTGTTCCAACTCAGAAAGGGATGCCAAGAAAGAAATCTGGAATAAAGGAGATCTTTGTTGAAACCAAAGAACTACTTAGTGTCAAGCATTGGATTTCTGATGATTCACATCTTAACAAGACTGGAGAAGGCGACAATTTCTCTATTGTTCTGAAAATGGGCCACCCTCTGCTCTATCTACTAACTTTTTAAAAAATCAGCAACAATATAGCCATCTGTCCCTGCTGTACTTGGACTTGGATTATCCCTTAGAAAAGTATCATCTATCAGCTTCCCTGGAACAAAGAAAACAGAGTATTTGTAAAACCATCTATGGTAACTGAGAGAAAGGACACGTGGTGTCAAACTTCTTTTACCCAGATGGTTGTGGATGGATTATTATAGGCTTAACATATTAAAGTGAATGAAGCCCAATCTTATACTGATATATTGGGATAAAGGGGGGATGGAAAGGAAGAGAAAGAAGAATGAAATCACATACAACAAGTAAAAATGACTTTAAAATTCCTCCAAGGTGCTGGCAATATGAAACTAACTTATGATCCCACACCACCCTCTCTACTGGATATTTTTTGGCTCTCTTGTTAATATAAATGGTTATCAAATGTGTACCTCATTTAGGTCTCGTATTTCATTCTCTGCCAGTGAAAGGATAGCAAGGCTTCGAGGTAGACAAGCTGGAGCCATTCTAAGAGAGGTGATGATATTTCCATGTAGTAGGAGAGTCTTTAAAGCAAGACCAAACAATAGATACCAATTAAAGTAGTGCAAAAGAAAATCTACTTTGGCAGTGTTGCAATATTGTGCAAATTTGATGATGAGATAGATTTAGTTATGCTGTACAAAGTACAGAGTTATAAAATGTTAGATCTAGAAAGAACCTTAGATAGCTAGGATAACCCAATCATTTTAGAGAGGAGAAAACTCAGGCCCAGGAGTTGCCCAGGGTCATGCAACTGGTTAGTGACATGCTATGAGATTTATAATTACATCTCAGTGATTTCCAAACACACCTAAATCTTTATTTCAAATCAAAACAGAAAAACAAATGCATTGGAGAAATCTGGGTAAAGTAAAATTTGTCTTTAAATATATTACGTGGAAGGGGCAGTAGATAGGAGCTCCAGCCTTGGAGTCAGGAGGAGCTGAGTTCAAATCCAGCCTCAGACAACTTGAGACTTACTAGCTGTGTGACCCTGGGCAAGTCACTTAAGCCTGAATGCCTCACCAAAAAAAGTGTGTGTGTGTGTGTGTGTGTGTGTGTGTGTGTGTGTGTGTGTGTGTGTGTGTGTGTGTGTGTGTAAAGCTTGGAAATTTTAGTCTTTTTTTTTTTAATCAAAGTACTTGATGGATACAATTCATGAAGGAAGCAGAAAGTAATTCCTAAAGTTGAGACAATGGGAATCATCTGATCTCAAGTCAACAAAAATTAGAAAAAAAAAAGGACTGAATTTCTGGAGTTCTGACAATATCTCAATCAAACTTTTTTTTAAAAAGTCATTTGAATTATCTTCATATTACTTATTAAAACTCTTTTTTCATCTATTATCTTAAAAATCTGACTGCCTCAAATCTTTTATGATAATTACTAATAAAGATGATTTCTACTAAGAAAGGTGGAATAATTGAGCTAATATTATTGATTTCAAGGTTGAATGACTTCATCAGCTTCTAACAATTCAAATGAGGCACAAAGATGAAAAAACTGCCTTAGAGATAGTCTCTAAAAAGCAGCAATTTCCAACTCTTATTTGATTTCCCATTACTTTCCACTCCATAAAAGTCCATAGGGCATGTGTTTATCTTTAAAAAGTAAATTAAAATTAACCTTATTTTTAAAATTTTGAGTTTTTAAATGAATTTCACAACATGAAGATAATTACAGACACCTAGGAAAGTCACAAAACTAGATTTGGGAATCATTGCTCTTGAAATTCGGCCAAATCAAGGGTTTCAAATTATGTTCTAAAGGCCAATAACCTTTATTGGCTAAGAAGGAAAAGTCTTTACAAGAGATGAAGACTAACCTTAGTTAAAAATGGTCAATTTTTTATCCTGTTAAGATCAGGTCTAAGAACGAGCACATTTATACACAGTAACAGCAATACTGCACAATGATCAACTATGAATGACTTAGCTATTCTCAGTAATCCAATGATCCAAGACAACTCTAAAGGATTCATGAGGAAAAATGCTATTAATGTCCAGAGAAAGAACTGATGGAGTCTGAATGCAGATAAGCATACTATTTTAATTTTTGTGTGTGTGTGTGTGTGTGTGTTTTCTTTTGGTCTGTTTTTTCTTTCACAATATGACTAACATGAAAACATATTTTACATGATTGCACATATATAACATAATCAAGTTGTTTACTGTCTTATGGAAGAGGGAGGTGAGAGGGAGGGAGAAAATTGAGAACTCAAAATTTTTTTAAATGAATGTTAAAATTTCTTTTTACATGTAATTGGAAGAAATAAAATAATATTTTTTAAAATGTTGCATTCAGGAAAAAAAAAAGATCAGGCCTAGACATTAGTTTCAGACACAATTTCAATATTAAGGGGATGAAGAAAGATAAAAAAGGAAACATAGAAAGGGGAGAAAAGAAATAATTTTTCAAAGAATTGTGGGAATCCTAATTTTAATAGTCTATTCTTCTCACATAGAAGCATGATTTTATACTGATTAGATTATTAATTCTCAACACAGAAACTTCAAATTTCAAAGGACCACACTTACCTTCAGAGCTATTAGTTTAGAAATATCACCTATTTGGGATATATTATTATCTGATAAATCAAGGTGCTGTAGAGCTGTGCAGTTACTGATCTGGTCTATGGCCTAAGATGAGAAAAATATTCATTATATTAATTTATGCATGAGCCCCATAAAACAAAACACTTCTTTAGTTTACATCTACTAGAAGTCTTCCCTCTTGACTCCTTCCATAATTACTGGAAGCAGGGTAGATAGAACCTGGCAAAAGAAGGGACTCTGGGGAAGAGTCAAAGGGATCTGGGAGACCATCATGCCAATGCATTGGCTACGGAGTTGGCCTTGGAGGCAGGAAGCCCTGGGTTCAAGTACCATCCCTGACATATTCTGCACTAGTGACTGTGGGCAAATCTCTTAACTTCTTGGCACTCCAGACAACTCCGGAATACTATGAGCAGCAGTCTGTGGAAATACTAACTTTATTTGGTATTTGTTAAGTTTGGAATACATTTTTAAAAAATATTTTAAGTCTATAATTTACAAAGAAGGCACCGATCCATGCGGATAGAGGAAATTTCCCATCACAAGCTGAAACCATAAGTCCAGTTAAAAGAGAGAGAGACAGGGGCAGCTAGGTGGTGCAGTGGATAGAGCACCGGCCCTGAAGTCAGGAGGACCTGAGTTCAAATCCAGCCTCAGACCAAACACTTGACACTTACTAGCTGTGTGACCCTGGGCAAGTCACTTAACCCCAACTGCCTAAAAAAAAAACAAAAAAAAAAAAGAGAGAGGGGCTCAGAGAGAGAGAGACCGAGCAATGGACTCCCATATTGTGGCATGTTTAATAGGGTTTTCAGCAAATTTTAGAGCTAAAAATCTTATAGCATGGAAATACGTTTTGCATGACTGCACACATATAACCTATATCAAATGGCTTGTTTTCTCAACGAGGGGGGAAGGGAGAGGGGAAGAAGAGAATCTGGAATTCAAAAATTTTAAATAACGAATGTTAAAAATTGCTTTTACATGTAATCGGGGGAAAAATAAAATATTAAATTAAAAAAGAGAAAAAAAAAGTTAGGAGTTTTGGGTCAACCCCCCTCACTTTGCAGATGAGAAAACTAAGTGCTAGAGGAATGAAATGTTGCTGGTAGCAGCAGCAGCACTAGAACTTCGGTCCCTGGCCTCCCTCTCCAAAGCTTGCCCCATACTATGTTATGTAAGTTTCAAGTCATCTCTATCTGAAACTAATTTATCTGATAAATCCTTGGGAACTTTGATTTTAATGGGGACAAATCATTCTTCTGAGATGTTTAGTTTTACTGTATACAAATCCTTCCTCTGAGAGGTCTGATTTTAATGTGTCACTTTATGTATTTTTACTGTTTTTTTAAAGTACCTAAGTATTTGAGTACCTGGGATATGACATGCATAGTAAAGAAAGGAAAAGGTAGCTTGTTTACTTCCATTCAAATGACATCTAAAATAATTTTTTCAAAGGTTCCTACTTTTCTAGTTGCTACTTTAAAAACACTGCTTACCTTCAGATTATTTCCTGCCAAATTCAGCCATTCCAATTGCCCTAGCTCCTTTAGCCCCTCCACATAGCCAATACTATTATGAGGCAGGTTAAGCACCCGGAGCTGAGTCAGTTTGGCCACACCCATCATCCGAACCAGTCGATTATTGGCAACTGACAACTGTGTGATGACCAGGAAAAACAAATTACTCTCAGCCATGATATATACAAATTTCAGGCTAACTTTAAAACAAAAAGAAAAAAAAAGCTCTCTTCCACAGTTATGCACAATTCAAATCTTACAATTGTTTGGTTCTTCCTGTTTATGTTTTAAAGACCTTCCACTGTTTCCTAAACATTATATAGTATACATTGTGTTTTTTCATTTCCAAGCATAACAAAATAAAAAATGGAGAATCTGTTAACAAGATGCAGAACAAAATGGAACAATTTGTTACACAGGCCAAGAAAATTTTCATCATAAAAGATCAAGCTTTTAACCATTTACTGAGAATGGGGGAACCTTGGGAATACAGTACAATATCAATATGTTATCATATAATTATTTCATCATATTAATATTTTAATGCATTTATATCTTATTATATCAATGTAATATGTTGTCAATATAATTATCTTCACTTTAATAGAAATTTCAGTTACATTAACAATTTTTTCCAGATGAGCATAAAGTTGGCATGGATGTTTTCATCATAAAAACAAGCTGGTCTTGCCTTTTTTAATGTCTGTAGTTTTCCAGGGCAATATGTTCCTAAATCAACCATTTTCCCAAGTACATAATACTGACCTGTACTAGTCTTCGGCACTTCTCAAGATTTTCCAATTTAATAATCTGATTTTTATCAAGAATCAAAGTATGTGTGTCTGCATCACAGGACAAATTTGGACCCAATTTCTGTAATCCTTGGCCTGACCAATCAACCACTGCACCTTGAAAAATAAGGGAAAACTCAGAAAATAAAGAGAGCAGGATAATTTTGCATAGAGAGATTAGTTTTTGAATTAGACTGAGAGCAAAAGTAATATTGGACATTTAAGATGAAGTGGCATTGAGATAAATGTGAAGTTTTAGATTTAGGCTCATGTGAAGACATGAGTTTTAAAAGACTAAGAATGTAATGTGGGCCAAAAGTGTGATGAGTCACAGCCCAACACAATCCTCAGCTGTATTATTATAAGTACAGCATCCAAAACAAGGGAAGAAATCCCTCCAACGTAAACTGGATTACTCAAACCACATTCAAAATATTATGTGCAACTCTGTGAACCATATTTTAAAATTAAACATCGATAAACTAAGGGAGTCAAATACATGTCATATAGGAGCAGCTGAAGGAACTGGAGATATTTAGCCTGGAAAGGGGAAAGCTGAGGAGGAAAATAATCTTCAAACATCTGAAGGGCTGTCAAGCAGAAGAGTAATTAGACTTATTCAGCTTAGATCAAGAATGAGGACCAAAAGGATGTAATTAATGGTAGGCAAGTTTCAGCTTAACAAATTAAAGAATCATGGGGAGACCAGCTGCTTTCTCTAAACATGGTCATAGACTCCAGACCCAAAAAGAATCACCCTTCCTAACAATTAATAGAACTTTCAAACCACAGAATGAATGGCCTTTAGAGTCATTCATCAGTACATAAATGATCAAAGGATATGAAAAGGCAGTTGTCAAATGGAAGAAATCCAATCTACCAATAACCATATGGAAAAATGCTCCAAAGCACTAATAATTAGACAGATGCATATTAAAACAACTCTGAAGTTCCACCTCAGATTCATCAGATTGGCAAAGATGACAAAAAAGGAAAATGACAATTGCTGGAGGAACTAAGGGAAAACGGGCCCACTAACACACTGCAGAGCTATGAAAAACAGTCCAGCCCTCCTGGAAAGCAATTTGGAACTATACCTAAGAAGTCACTAAACTATGTATATTCTTTGACCTTGTGATACTACTCTGGGCAAAGAGATCACCTGAAGAGATTGAAACAGAAGAAAAAGGACCCATAGGTAAAAAAATATTTATAGCAATTATTTTTGTTAAAAATAAAAGGGTGAGGTAAGGTACTGGAATCTATAAGAAGAACAGCCAGAAACAAATTATGGTATATAAATGTAACAAAATATTATTGGGTTGTAAGAAATGATAAAAGGAAAAAGTTCAAACAAACCTGGGATGACCTGAAATGATCTGATACTGAGTTAAGTAAGCACAATTTATATAATGACAACACTGGAAAGAAGCACAACTGTGAAAGACTTAAGAACTTTGATAAAAAGGCATGATCCCAGAGGACCAAAGATTAAGCCTAATTTCCACCTCTTGGCAGAGAAGTAGATGAACTCAAGGCACAGAATGGAATGTGCATTTTCAGACATGGTCAACACTGGGATGTTCTGCTCCACTGTATCTATTTGTTATAAGGGTGGTTTTCCTTCATCTTTTCTTTTTTTTTCTTTTTTTTTTTGTGAGGCAATCAGGGTTAAGTGACTTGCCCAGAGTCACACAGCTAGTAAGTGCTTTGTGTCTGAGGCTGGATTTGAATTCAGGTCCTCCTGATTCCAGGGCCAGTGCTCTAGCCACTGCGCTACCTAGCTGTCCCTCCCCTCATCTTTTCAATGGGGAGAGACAGAGCAGGAAAGAGAAGAAAGCTTTAGATAAGGTTGTAAAAAAAAAAAACAAAGAAAAGAAAAGTAGGTCACTGATTTTTTTTTAAATGAACAGAAGGCCAAAAGGAAACACAAATAGGATAGATCTGAAAGCTACATGTTGAATTTACCATATTTTTAAAAGGAAAAACAAGCTATATATAATGAGTGATTTTCAGCTTAATGTATATTCCTCTTCTTCTGTAATACTTTGTGTGTGGAAATGCTCGTTTTGTATGCTTAAGTTCAGAATTTTAAAAAGAAATAAAAGAAATAAACAGCCTTATAAGATAGTACATCCTTACTTGCAGCCTGCTAGGTGGCACTGTGGATAGAGCACTGTCAGGAAAACTCATTGTTCAGAGGTCAAATCTGGCCTCAGATGTTACTGGCTGTGTGACCCTGGGCAAGTCACTTAACTCTGCTGCAGTTTTGCCATTTGTAAAATGAGCTGGAGAAGGAAATGGCAAACCACTCCAGTATCTCTGCCAGAAAAACCTCAAATGAAGTCATGAAAAATTGGACACAACTGAACAGCACTCCCTTACTGGAGAATCCACTCCTCAAGTGGAAGCTAGGTGTTACAGAAGGGATTCAAACTACATGGAAGGAATGTGCAAATTACCTCTATGATGCCTAGCAACTCTGATTATAAGAATTAGGGTAATCTTATAAAGAACAATGTTTTCTTTCAATTACTCAGTAATCCTTAGGAATTAGCACACACACAGTACTATCAGACATGTATATGTTTTGGAGGCCAAGCTTCTAAAATGCAGTATTTTAGCAACCTACCCCCATAACTTTGAAACATGGTTTCCATATTTTGTGTCTTTGAAATAGCAACTTTTAAAAAATCACCAGGGTTAAATGGAGGCAAAAGGGAAGTATTACTCAATTAAATAAATATGTATCAGGTACCTGTTATGCAGAGTTCACTGCCCTACAAATCTATACTTTATACAACTTAAATCTACTTAACTAATTTCCATGGAGAAATTGAAGATTGATGTTTCTCTGGAAAAATTTTTTAAAATTGCTAGTAAGTACTAATGTAACCCCTTAGCATTTAAGTCTTCTCCTACCCCATTCCTTCAACAGCTACACAATTTCCCAGGCCTATCTGAAGCCTAACCATTTGAGTACTGCAACCTTTTGGTCCCTAAAATGGCTGTATCAGTTGCCATACAATCTATTTGATAAAAGAGAACTTGTAAGCTAAGCCACCTTTAAAATGCCACAATAAATGTATTGGAATGGCTCTGAGCAGCCATGGAACTGAGAGGTAAGAGAATAATCAGTGCTAGGCACACTGTAGATACCTAATAAATATTTAATGATTTATTATAGAGCCAAAGATAATTAGAAGTCAAAAGAAGCTTAGAGATCATTTAGTCCCGCAAGCTCATCTTTTTACGTTTTTTGTCATTGCCATAGGATTTTTAACAAGTCATTGCCCAATATACCATCTCCCCCAACGATGGAAATCTCCCATGTGACAAAGAATGACAAACAGTTAAAAAATAAACAGTGACTACATCTGATGACATGTGCAAAATGCTGAAGATGTAGGCTTCTACCCTCTACTAAAAGAAGGGAGTTCCAGCCCTCTCATTTATAGATAAGAACACTGAGGCCCAGGGGAAGTAAGAAAAACATTTGTTCAAAACTGGAAAGCAAAGATAAACTACCTCTAAGATACTGCAGACAATCTCATAACTGTTTAAAGCTTCAGTTTCCTCATCCACAACATGAACCAAATTTCCCTCCCTGCAGTACGACTTCTATTTCCTCTTGCTTGCTGCCTAAACTTTGGGCAGTCATCAGAAGTGTGCTGGTAACTGTCAAACAACCAGCTCTCTGGAAAAGAAAATGTACTCTAACAAACTTTTCAATTTAGCCTGAATAATTAACATTTTCTCTATGTCCTTATAGATAATCAATAAAACTGTAAACAAAGACCTGATTTATACCTAAATGCTCACATTGAAAATTTAACAACTGGCTGGAAAGCCAGTTCCTGCTAGCTATAGCACACCCCTGGCATTTGCAGCTATGGATTTTACTACTGGTTCTTTTCTTGGATTTTTGTTACTGTGAACTTCAGGGCATCTTAACTGCTTTTGATTTGCCTTCATTGTAGCTTCTCTCCAATACAGACATACTACTTCCCCAATCGTTTTTAATTCAAAGCCCTTTGAATTAGATTTGCAAGACACCTGATAAACTGTTACCAGTTACATTCTATCCCTGGCCAATAGTCAGTCATCTCTTTTATTTCAAGCCATGATCCAAAAGTCCAAATCCCATTCTCGGATAGCATTTTCTTATCTAACTGTTAACTTTTCAAATCAATTTTTCTTTTCTGTATACATTGCTTTTAATGGGGGATAATGAGGCAAATGTGCCTGTGTTTAGCACATGGTTTTGTAACCTTTAACAATATTTTCTAGGTTCCCTTTTTATAGTGTTATTTGTAGCCAAACAGCACCATCACCACAGAATCAACACAAGTGCACAGTCATCATCCACTCTGACAAGATTTGGAAGGTTCTCATGTTTTGGATGCTTTTCTCAGGAAGACAACAAACTTCTCCATTGTTATTATCAGGTCAACAAATAGCTAACTGAGAACTCTTGATCACTTACCACCACTATTTTTCTCTCCTTCCTCTGACTTCTTACTAGATGATATCTTCACCAGATCACTTCTGTGGCTCTACTTTATCCTACCCTAGAGGACAAAGAGCCATTTCTCCCTCAGAGCGTACCTTCCTCTTCTTCAAAAAGAGCCTTAAATCTGTTGTTGATTTTAACTCCAAGTACAAAGCTGTCCCTTTTCCCTCCCTTCCTCCTCTGTAACATTCTTCCACTCTCCAACCTCCTGACAATGTTCATTTTAAAAGAAGGAGCTTCTATTACTCCTCTTGGAATATTTAAAGTAAGGACAGTGGGAGTTAGAGGTATGTGAACATATTTTCTGCCAACTCTAGGGATATGCATGAAATGATGGAATGAAATAGCCTCAATTAGGTTTTCTTCTATATTTTGCACGGCTGTTTTTCTAGGCATAAGCAATTGACATAAGTTGGAAAAGGCTAAAACCATAGTTTCAAATTCACACAAACTGTGGCATTATAGAGTTCTATCTTTAAGTCTTTCATAGCATGTATTCCAAAGTCTGCTATGAACGTATTCTAAATGAGGCAACAAGTCCCCTAAAGGGTGTACTGATGTCGGGGTGGGGGTGTGAGAGGAGAGAAAATGAAGATTCACCCTCTCCACAAGGGTGTTGGTAAACAAACATAGTATACTTGTCAAAATCACAAATAAATTAGACAATTATGAGAAGACTCATTATGCCACTGCCAAAGAAGACACGTGAGGTTTATAGCCTACTCTAACACTGGGATCTGTGAGGAAACAGAAAAAACCGGGAGGGGGGAGCACCTGGGGGGAGACCAAGCTGTGGGACTCAAAGGAGGTTTTTGTTGTTTTTAGGGACAGCAGAAGGAGGGGAAGAAAGAAGTCTTCAAAGAGAAATTCTGCTTATCATACCTACTGGCCACGAGGTGAATTCTTTGGTCATGGCCACTTCTCAAGCTATGATAAATGGGGGGGGGGGGGAAGAGATGCATGATATTCTCTCATCACAAGAGCCTCCATGATGCTGTGGAATATGCCCTGAATCTGGAGTCCAATGGCTCCAAAATCCTCTGTGGAAAACCTATGATGCTGGTGCCTGTACCCTCTGCCCTGATCCAAGACGAGAAGCTGGGTATACAGTCTCAACCTATGCAGTCCCAGTAAAAACAAAGGTGACTGGCCCTACAACCTGCTTGTGCACAGGGTGAGACGCTCAGGTTAAGAAGGACCCCATCCCGCCACTGTGCAGCCAAGGCCAAGCCCTAGCCCCCTGCACCTCAGTGAGGACCAGGTGAGTGATGCTCCCACCCCAGCCCGCCCAGCCCCCACTTCACCAAAGTCATCAGCCCCCTCCTGGGGAAGGGAAGATGACGAACAAGAGACTCGGGGCACGATGCTCCCGCAAATGTGGCTCTTCCCTCTGCCCAGCCCAGCCGAAGTCCTAGGCAAGAAGGACTCTTCCCCAACCCCAAAGAAACCAAACAAACAGCGGGACCAGCGCGCGGGGCTGAACGAAGCCCCCTGGGAGCTGTAGTCCAGCCCCTCCGGCCCTCGCCTGGTCACCGAGGCAGTTACAGAGCGCGGGAAGACTACGACTCCCAGAGGGCAGCACGCCCCGCCGCCCCAGACGCCAAGCCTAACTGCAGCTAGAGAAGAGACGACCCGAAACGCAGCGATAAAATGGGGAGCCCCCGGGAACCCTTCTGTGGAGAGGCGATTACTGGAAGGGGGACTGGCGAAAGGATCTCTAAACTAAAGGAACAAGGTACTTTTACCTTCTCCTGGTGGTAAAGCCGCGTCGTTCCGCGCCGCCGTCGCCATACTTCCCGCTTGCTAATACCAGGCAACCGACTTCCCGAAGCTCTGTGGGGTATGTAGTCTAATTGGGCTAGCGCAAAACTACTATTCCCAAGATGCATGGCGCCCATCCCTCAACACTCCACTCCCAACCCCTTCCTGGGCTAGTGGGAAGGGAGGACCTATTGCGTTCTGATTGGTAGAGAGGGTTTAATGAATTAAAGTAATATTGGACTCCAATTTTACAGCAGTAAATAACTTAGAAACAGGGAAAGCATGTGTGTAGTGTAGATGATTTGCAAATTGTTTCCTATACCTGTTATTTCTTCCATCTCCTAAACAAACTACATATCCTATATAAAAACTAACATGTTTAGGTATAGAATTGAAAGTTAACAAGTGCAAGAAAATCCTGCCTCAAAGTCCAATCACATGGGATTCTCCTCCTTGGTGGAGACTGATTTATTCAGTGCAGAGTTGGTGACAACTTGAGGGAGAGAGGAATCATGATCTAGCCTAGACAGGGAAGACCTAAGGTTCCAAACTTTCTTCAGGTCACTGAAAGGAGACAAAGTTTCTGGAATGAAGCTTCTATGTACAGGAGCCACCACCTCAATCAAGTCGTTATTCCCAGCTTATTACATTAGAGACTTTGGGGAATTTCCCCGTGGGTGAGATCTGGACTCTCTTGGTTGAGCTCTCTCTCCCAGTGGAAGTTCCTCCTCCCTCCACCCTCCACTCTGTATTGTCTGGTATATATTCTCATCCATATGCTTTCACAGATTTCTGTTTGCTGTCAGCTTAGAAAAGTGGATTCATATGCTATTTTTCATGTGTGTTCATTGTGGAACAGGCATTTATTGGGAAGGGAGTCAAGCATTAGAGTTGGGGAGAGAGCTTGAAGCACTCCTCCATTAAGGGGTAGCAATCAGGAGCTCAGCTTGAACCCTAAACATTATTTCCCCCGACTAAAAATAACTATGGGGGAAGTAGATAGATATAATTCTGGCCCAATAGGCTTTCTCTGAGGACAAGAAAGTGGCCAGCTTCTGGCCCCAACCTCCTGCTTCTGCTATTAACAGGGCAGGAATCAATGTCTAAGGTGAAGAAAGGTAGATGGAGGGAGACCTTAGAGATATCTGTTATGCCTTCCTTTGATCTACATCTAGACCAATCTATGTAGATGCACAGAACCTACATGGGCAGCATACCCACCTTATAAGTGAGAGCCCATCCACAGGAATATAGCTAGAACTCCTGCTCACTCATTTTTGCAAGAAATTGTGTGTTGCATTGTGTCCTCTAGTATTTAATAACATGTTGAATTTTTCTAAAAAAAGAAAATGTGTGTTGGTTTTGTTTTTGTTTTTGTTTCTTGCCACATACTCCCCTTACATTTACTTTGGGGAAGCCATAATTTCATCAGTATGGGAAGTCCACTGATATATATTGCAGTCCCTTCACAGCTTCTTATTCTATGCAATTCCTGTTCACTTTCATTCTATAAGTACTCCATAAAGGCCAAGAATTTCCTTTCATTTCTTTTTTCTTCCTTTATTTTTCTTCCTTCCTTCTTAAATGGAGATCTAACATCAGGCCTAAGTAATTCTACTTTGTTAAGCAGTTTTAAGACTGCTGTAATTTGGTATGAAAGTAAAAAATGCAATGGTGCTTATCTGACTTACAGACTTGGAGTCAGGAAAATCTGAGTTTGAATCCTGCTTCAGTCACCTACTAACTCCATGACTCTGTGTTATGTCATTTAATTTCTCTCAACTTTGGTTTCCTCATCTGTAAAATAAAGATGCTGTATCGCAGGGTTATGATGAAGATCAAGTAAGATAACACATGTAAAAGCACTTTACAAGCTTTAAGAGGGGCAGCTAAGTGGCACTGTGGATAGAGCACTGGGCTTAGAGTCAAGAAGACCTGAGTTCAAATTTGGCCTGAGACACTTACAAACTATGTGACCCTGGGCAAGATCTATTTGCCTCAGTTTCATCATCTGCAAAATGAGGGTAATAATATCACCTACCTCCCAGGGTTGCTGTGCAGATCAAATAAGATAATATCTGTGTAGTGCTTAGCACAGTGCCTGGCCCATAGTAGATGCTATATAATTATTAGCAATTACTATTAGATAAAGGACTAACATTATTATTTTCCTTTCAAATAGATATGTGTTCATTCTATATATCATCTATATGTTGCTTTAATTGACTGAAGTGTATATCCTGTTTTAATTGTGTGAGCCATGTATCACCTATGTCTTGTTGAAGCAGAAGTTTCTTTATGATCACAATGTTTTTACTCCCAAGTATTGCTGATGTTTCTTAAAGATGAGACTATTTTTATTCCTATACATTCTGTTATCCTGTTAATAAAATGCTTCAATCAAGATAGAGTGTCTCCTTTAATTCTGTAAGGTTTTTTTTTCTATATAAAGGAAACTGTAAAAAAAATAAAGTTGAGTTTGTGCTAGGAGCTGGCAACACTGGCAACACCTGTTGTCTCTCCTGCTCACTCCCTGACCAGGTCACACCACCTTTTGTATTTCATACATATCATACATAAAGTCCTGACAAAAGAAGGAATCCCCATTTCATAACAAATGTTGTTATTCTCAAGTGACATCACCCTGAGTCCAGAGTACCACAAAGTATCTCACGTGAAATCCGCAACACTGAGGAAGAGATGGTCTAACCATGTATGAGGAAAAAAAAGCAAAATGGATGAAAAATGCTTATTGTTCAGACTGTAACATGCCAGTTGGGCAAATGCTTGTCAGTCATGGAATGGTTTGAGATTATTAAAAGTTACGTATATTATCCCACATAAGATCCAGCCCACTCCTCCATTATTTAATTCTGGGTATATAGGTCATTGTTCATGTACAGGGTCTGTGGAATATATGCATATAGATGGAATAGTTCAGTTGGCCATCCAATTTCATATCATGATTTAAGAAATGAGTATTATTTATTCATTTGGGTTTTTTCCTAGTGGACTATTAGGTGCGTCTCTTTTGAAAGTCTATTCAATCATTGTAATGTGTTAGACCTTTGGTTATCCCAGCAAGGGAGAGAAACAACTGAACACCATCCAAAATGAAGATCACACCGGTTTTAATAGCTGTCTATAATTCTCTAGACACATTTAGGAGACATCTTCTTGAAGGTAGCAAGTAATAGTCATGGCAATAGAGACTAAATCCTAGGTGTGTGAAATAAGTGCAATAATTAGTCATTTAAATGAAAGGGAGAGAGAATATGAGTTAGTTGGTCCTGAGGAAGGGTACTTAAGAGTGAAAGTGAGGTAGTGAACAGGAGCTGTAGAGACCCCACAAGTTTGAAGTATGGGAAGGGAAAAAACTTTGAGGTACATAAAGAGAGTGAATATCACTTGGCCAGCTGATGTACCTAACCTCTGTATTGAACCCTTAAAGACTTTTTGCATGTTCTAGGTCCTTGTTTCCTTCCCAGAAGTCATACCCATGTGGGGGAACAATAAAAAAAAAAGCTAAATGAGGTTCTGTATATTTGGATGGCACATTTCTGAGCCCCCTTTAATCACTACACTGGAATAAGAAAACCTGGGGACACAAATGAACCTGACGCTTGCATTATCAGCAGCCACAGCTCAACTGCCAGTGAATGTATCCATGACTCAAAGCCATCCACATCCAGCTGGGAAACTTTACCATTCATGGGAAATTGTTTTTGTATTTGGACTTTGAGCAGAACAACATCCACCACAGCAGGAAAACCTTTTCCATGAATATGTTTCCTTGTCCGGTAAGTTGAAGATTATTGAAAAAAGTGATTTCTGTGAGCATGTAGCATTCATTTATTTAACCTTAACTTATGAATAGATGACACCTTATTTGAAATGAGGCTTAGGGCTGTATTTTTCTCTACCAAGTAAAATGCATTTTTATGTAATCCATATAATAAACTCAGAAACAGTTCAGATTTTGTCTTTGTATCCCTAGCACTTAACACAGTGCCTAACACATGGTAGGCACTTAATAAATGCTTGTTGACAAGCAAATGGATTCTCTCCCTTCTCGATCATGTGACTGTAAAGATGTGATCTGCTATACACTGTCATTCATAGGCGGTATGGCATGGTGGGGAAAGAGCTGTCCTCAGAATCAGGAAGACTTGGCTTCAAGTCCTACTTCTAACAAACAGTGGCTGTATGGCTTGGACAGGGGGAAGGGGTACTCTGTACAGCTTGTGAGACTACAATTTGTTCAGAGCAATTTCTCATCTGCATTGATAGAGGGAGTCCCCTTGATGAGAGTTCCCTATACCAAAGAACTCAGCTAGGTGGTATAGTGGATAGAGCGCTGGGCCTGGAGTCAGGAAGACTCATCTTCCTGAGTTTAAACCTGGCCTCAGACACTTACTGGCTGGGCAAGTCACTTAACCCTGTTTGCCTCAGTTAATGAGCTAGAGAAGGAAATGGCAAACCACTCCAGTATCTTTGCCAAGAAAACCCCAAATGAGGTCATGAAGAGTCAAATATGACTGAAAAATGATACAACAACAAACCAAAAAAAAAAATTGCATATCCAGAGCAGAAAGACCTTTGATATATTCATAGATCTTTCTCTTAAAGATCTCATAGAGATGGAAGAGTTGGCATATGGGTCATTAGTTGCTAATGCCAGTCTCATTTTCCTTTTCTTTAAAGTGATAATACCATCTATGATCCTTTCCATTCTTTTGTGTTCTTCCTATCTTTGAAAACTGCTGAAAAATCAGTCCCTAATTTGTATGAACTAGGGGCAGCTAGGTGGCGCAGTGGATAGAGCACCGGCCCTGGATTCAGGAGGACCTGAGCTCCTATCCAGCCTCAGACACATAACACTTACTAGCTGTGTGACCCTGGGCAAGTCACTTAACCCCTTTGCCTAACCAAAAAAAAAAAGTCTCAGCCTAATTTATATGAACTAATGCGAAGTAGGGTAACCAAAGCCCAAAGAAATATGAGAAGACCCCTTCTCCACTCTTTATAAAGGGGAGGGGGTGAATTTCCACAGATGTGGAACATTGCGCATCTAAGATTTTTCAAAGTATTAATTGGT